CTGCAATCTCTGCCTCGTGCAGTCCCCTTCCTCGTCGCATCCGACAGGCTGTGGCTCACTCTTGAGGTTGCGATCTCCAGGTCATCTGTGATCATCAGAAGAAGGAAGACAAGCGGCATTCTGCCTGTGTGTGGAGTGGAGCGATAAGGGCGTCGTCTGCTCGCACTGGTGCGCCTCTCGGGGTTCGGCGCAGGGAGGCACAGAGCAGGCAGAGCAGGCAGAGCAGGCAGAGCAGGCAGAGCAGGCAGAGCAGGCAGAGCAGGCAGAGCAGGCAGAGCAGGCAGAGCAGGCAGAGCAGGCAGAGCAGGCAGAGCAGGCAGAGCAGGCAGAGCAGGCAGAGCAGGCAGAGCAGGCAGAGCAGGCAGAGCAGGCAGAGCAGGCAGAGCAGGCAGAGCAGGCAGAGCAGGCAGAGCAGGCAGAGCAGGCAGAGCAGGCAGAGCAGGCAGAGCAGGCAGAGCAGGCAGAGCAGGCAGAGCAGGCAGAGCAGGCAGAGCAGGCAGAGCAGGCAGAGCAGGCAGAGCAGGCAGAGCAGGCAGAGCAGGCAGAGCAGGCAGAGCAGGCAGAGCAGGCAGAGCAGGCAGAGCAGGCAGAGCAGGCAGAGCAGGCAGAGCAGGCAGAGCAGGCAGAGCAGGCAGAGCAGGCCATGCAGGGATCGGGCAACCTGCCCCTACCTGCTGGCCCTGTGAGGGCGCTCAGCCGGCGCCCATCTCGGCCAGCTCGCCCAGCTCATGCAGCTCTCACTGCGTCAGCTGCCATCAAGCCGTCGGCTGTCGTTTCTTCTGACAATTCGAACAGCCGTGCGCCGCGTGGCCGCGTGCCGAGACTTGCCCCGAAGGGCCCGAAGAGTGAGGGCGGCGTGCGTGCGGCGGAAATGTCATATACGGCCATGCCACTGCATGCATGTAAGAGTGGGCATGACCGACTGGACTGATTCTCGCCGGATCACCGATGATACGTCTGCACATATCTCGTTTGGCGGTGCGCATGCGTGTCCTCAGGCTGTGGTCCAGCGGGGGCATGCTTCCATCACCGTCTCTTGCTCTCTGTCCGTATTGCAGACCATGATAGACGACGGTACATGCACGCCTGGCGTCTGTGACCGCGGTTGCACGGACTGAAAGCCTTTCTCGGCGCATTCCATCCGAATGTCACTGTCGGAGCACTCTTGATCATCACATTCGATCGTCGATCTACTGGTGCAGCATGCACGGCGTGCATGCCAGCAGCCAATGATCTTATCGCGCAGTCAGCAGTCGGACGACGCGACGCGCACTGTCGGCACATCAAAGGTCACGTCGTGACGTCCCCGCTGGCCCACAGCCACGCTTCCGACTCCGGCCTGAGGCATGCACGTTTGTGCGCTATCCGCCACTTAACCTGATTCGTTTCGAGCCTGCATATCACGCGCTGCGAATTGCCCGATTCCAGCACCGCGGTTCATACCAAGACACTCGTGACATGCTGCTACTAAGTTCTATTCTATGCTATGCCTTGCTGCAAGAACTCCAACGCCGAGTATAGGTCTTTCGGCGCTCTCTCCACTACGTATTACCACCCAGCATCGCTGGCGGCACTGCGGTGGCTGCTCGCCGAGCTCATGACGCCGCGGGGCGTGTCCTCGCCGCCGCGCGAGAGCGAGAGCGGCAGAACAGCCTCATCATGCACCGCCTTCTTGAGGTAGACCTGGTCGCCCTCGAGCGGCGTCGTCGAGAACGTGAGGCCCTTGCCAAAGTGCTTCACAAGGCACTTCTCGGCGAGCGCCCAGTCGACGTGGGACGTGAGCTTGCGGCGCGGCTGCACAGTCAGGCTGTGGCGTGCATCGACGTTGCTGTCGAGCACGGCCGGGGAATGCGCGCCCTCCGAGATGGACAGACGGATCGAGAAGTCCTTGTGCGTCTTGCCGTCGCGCTGGGACGACTTCTCCCACAGCTCGATCGTGATGTGCGAGCAGTAGTCGAGCTCGGGGATGCGCACGTTTGTCGCAAACGGCAGACCCGAGGCCAGGAGAAGGTGCACGAACGTCGTGATGTGCGACTCCTTGCTGTATTGTCAGTTCAGAAATCGCCTCGAACAACTCACGTAAAGTAGAAGCACGCCGACGACTTGCCAGTGTTCTTCGCCTCCTCGAGGTCACCCCACACCTTGCGCAGGAGAGGAAGCGACGTCAAGATACCAATCTCCTCCTTGGCCTCGGCGTCAAAGCCGTACTCCTGCGGCGCGACGAGATCGAAGAGCGCCTTGGCGCGGGCGTACAGCTCGTGCAGACGGCGGTCCTGGTGCTCAGCGCCGGTGCGAGAGCTGAGGCCCTTGCCCTCGGGGTCGAACACGGCGAAGAGGAAGTTGCGGTTGTGCAGCGAGTCGTACTTGATGCTGTCGTAGAGCTCGGAGACACGCGACGGGTCAAACTTCTCCTGCTTGACGCCAACCCAGTCCTCGAAGATCTTCTCCCAGCGCTCGCGGAACAGCCACGGCGAGTCACCGCTGCACCACCGCTGCTTCGGGATACGCTCGACGTTGCCGTTCTCGTAATTCGCACGCATGATCGCACGCAGCTCAGTCAGCTGCGCGATCACCTCCCGCACAACCTCGACAGGCTCCTCCTTCAGTGACCACTGCAGGTCAGACCGCTTTTCCGTCTCGCCAGAGCGAAGAAGCATCTTAAGCTTCTTCTTCGCCTCGCCGATCTTCTCCTTGCCCGCATTGTTGTCATCAAGCAGGTCGCGGCGCTGGATCAGGTGCGAAATCACTGGTCCAGACGGCTCGGCGGGTGTGCCAGACGAGCGGTTCGTGGTCGGCGTTGTCGTGGCCGGCTGCTGGTCGCCGGCACCCAGGAGCGAGTGCGCGAAGAAGTGCGCAGTGTTGATGACACGACGCTCAGAAGACGTGTAGATCTTGACGTTCGACAGAACATCCTTGTTCATGATGAGAATGTCCTTCTTGAAGGCGTCACCGAGGTCGCGGGCCTGGTAGCGCGCAGCGTGCGTGCTCTCACCGCCCCACTTGACGACGAGCTGCATCTTCTCGAGGCCCTCGGGGATGCCGTACGACTCGGCCTCGCCTGTGATGACTGCGCGCATGTCGGGCGTCTGCGGGACGGTCGAGTCGTTGGACGTGTTCGCCTTCTCTCCTGCGGGCACATTGCCGACGCTGCCACGCTTGAGCCAGTCGTCTACGCGCTGGCGGCTGGCCTCGTCGTCCTCGTCGCCAGAGCCAACCTCCTCCTTCTTCTTGTCCTTCTTCTTCTCTTTCTTATCCTTGTCCTTGTCACCGTTCTTCTTGACGAAGCTCGGCTTCAGCTGCGCCTTGGTGCCTGGCAGCGACATCTTCTTTGTGAGCACCTCCTTGAGCTGATCAAGCTTGGCGACAATCTCGGGAGTGACGCCCTCGATTTTCTTCGCCTCGTCCGCAGCAAGCAGAATGTAGTTGAGCTGACGGGGGTCGCGGAGAATGATCTCCTCGCGGTATCCACGGAGCAGCGACAGGAACGGCCTGGCCCAAGGCTCGTGGGCAGGGAAGGAAAACTGCGAGTCAGTTACCTAAGAGACTCTCATAGCTTACCTTCAGCTTCATCTTCGGCGTGCGGTCCGCGTGGCGGAGAACGGTGACGGTGGCACGGAGTGTGCTGGTCGACGACTGCTGCGCATCGGGCGGCGGCATGAGGGCGGACTTCTGCGTCTGTTCAACCTTGCGCTCGCGGGCAATGTCGCACACGGCCGAGAGAATCTCGGCAGCCTTGTCGTAGTAGGACTGGTTACCCTTGACAAAGGACCAGCCATTGACGTCGATCACCATACTACGGCCGTGGTCACGCAGAAGGTCGAAGCCACACACGCGCTGTCCAAACGCTTCCACGACGTCCTTAGCGTACGCTTCTTCTTGCGGGGACAGCTTCGTAATAAATCGCGTCTCCTTGCCGTCCGCATTGCGCTGGACGAGACCGTCGACAACGGGCGACTTGCGGGTCTCGGCATGCGAGAACTCGGGGCCGATCGTGTAAACCTTGACGTCCTCAGCTGCCATTGTTAGCACTTATCAACACGGACCACCGGGCCGCGCCACAGCCACCGGTAATGTCCGACCGCACTGTGACTCACCATTGTCAACATTGATGAACTCCTCATAAATGAATGAGCCGACAGTGCGCGGGTGATACAGCGACGGGTCATACTCTGAACTCTTGTTGCCGACCTTGCGGAACAGCCTGCGACCACCACCGCCCTTGTAGTAGATGTAAACGTTGTGGTCCTCGCCGTTGACGGGCTTCTCCACAAACGGCTTCTCAACGACCTTGTCGCCAATGATGATGGCGTCACCGTCTGCCCGAAGTATCACGTCACGCGAGCGGGGCACCTCCTTGTGCGCCTTGTTCTTCCAGCGATCCGGCACGACGACCGGGTCCCAGCTGTCCTCGTCCTTCGCCTGGTGACCGGGGAGCACAAGACCCAACTCCTTCCTCACGCGCAGACGCAGGGATCGGGGGACGCGGGGCCCTCCGTCACGGTTCACCTCGGCTCGCTTGGGCGTCGGAACGCCAATGTGGTCGAGGATCGCCAGAACCAGTCGACGGTCCCAGAGAAGGCTCTGCATGGCGAGCGAGTTGATGGAGATGGGCGGGAGTCGGTTGGGGATCTGAGTGTAGGCGAGCGCCTTGGGGAGCGGGAAATCCGTACTGAAGAACGAGATGAGGACGTCGACCTGGGGCCAGTGGTTGATATCTGAAGGTCAGCGAGGAAGCTTGAAGTGGCGTCATGTGTCACTACGAGAACCGGGGGACGCAGCAGTTCTACCGGTGGCAACGTCTGTCGGTGTGGAGAGAAGCATATCGTGCAACGCATGGTACATGTGACCGTGTTGCAACGACTTGAAATGGTAAGAAGACTCACCTTCCTCGAGGATGACCACGTCTCCGAAGATCTGAACATCGACTCCACCCCTCTCAATCTCGACCAGGCGGGTGAGGATCTCTCGCATAGCTTTGCTTCGGGCCTTGACGTCCATGGCGCACACACCGAGGGTAACGACAGGTGTCTTGCCGCCGATCAACGCCTTGGTCGGCGAATGAGGTCTCGGAGACGCCGGAGTGCCGGGACGGGAGCCGGCGTTGGAACCGCCCGCCATGCCGCGCTCGGCGAGCTTAGTGAAGGCGGCGTTGGACACGGACGCCACGGTCTGAACATTCTGGACGTTCGGTCCTCCGCTTGAGGAAGCGGTGCTCCCCTTGATCGGGGACGCATTCGATTTCGACATGTCGTACTCTGGGGTGAGGAGTGGGACAGGAGGAAAAGTCGAGGATGTCGTCGGGCAAACGCGCTTGGGGTAATTTACTTTTCCTATCAATGCTCGGCTACAGCGGTAGCTCCAGCGGACTTCACAGTGGTGATCCGCCGCCGTCTATCGTGCCGGCATGGCGCCAATCCGGGCCCCCGCAAAACACAACGCAGAATCCTTCGAGCGTCATCGGACCCTCCTCATTTGGCCATTTTTGGCGCGCACTTCGGTCTTTCTTCCTTATTTTCAACCACGACAATCATGGACGCCAAAGCGCTGCAGGGCGCACTCACCCCCGAGTCGCTGCGGAGTACAGACTCGGCGAACGCTGCAAGCAAGATTATCGACGACGTCGCCCGCTACGTCGCGCAGCACCTGTCTGACCGGTGAGCTGCTAATGCCTGTCGCAAGCTGACGAACAGCGAGAACATTGTCGCCGAGATCAACGCAGCGGGGAAACCAGTATGGGAAGCTCTGGGAAACTTGTGGCCCGCAGTTGCCGAGTCGCTGGACCCGAGTCCGAAGGCTCCGTCCGCCATTAGCGAGGAGGCGCGAGTCGCACTGGCAGCGGCTACGGCTAAGCTGGAGCGCAATCTGATCGCTGGCTTGTTCGAGAACCAGCAGGCTGCTTTGTAAGCTGCATTGGATCTTGCCACAAGCTGACGTGTAACAGGCCGCACGAGCCGTTGATCCGCAGGACGATCTTTGATGTGACGACCTTCAACCGCATCGAGGACGAGAAGTGTGAGCTACACGTTTCCCCTTTACAAGCTGACAGCAGACTACCTCCTTCAGGCTATGCTGGCTGAGCTGCTCAGCAACCTGATCTCACCGACGGGGAGCGAAGTGTCGATGCAGAGTGCTGATGCGCTACTGGCAAAGTACCTGACGGGCGGTCGTGAGGACGACGTCGTTATGTGAGCTCTAGTCGCAGTCTGTCGAACTAACAACAGCCGCCTGCTCGACTCTCGCGACCGGCGAACTAACGTTGCCACCTTGCACCTGCTGAACAACCTGACAAGGGACGGCAGCCGTCTGTGAGTCCTTGAACTACATCATAGCTTCCTCTCTGTCCATGTCCAAGCTAACGACAGGGAGAACCTTCTCTCCCCAACCGGAGTGAAGTGGCTCGCGCAGCTTCTCGGCCGATTAGACGACTGGGTCGATTGCGAGGATGCGCGTTTCGAGCTGGCCGTCGGCATCGTGAACCGCTTCATCGTGCGGGATCTGCAGTCCCGTCTCTTCTCCGCCCTCGGCGCTCCGGATCAGGCTGGCCTCACCGAGCCCGAGGAGGAGATCACGCCAAGCCAGACGACACTGCTGAAGCAGCTCGATGCGTACTTGGCTCAGCGCGCTGATGTTGCCGGCACAGAGCAAGAGGAGGACGGAGACAACGCCTCGCCGTCGCCCAATGCCTTCCTCGTACCCCTGTTCGGCCGGTTGGCGAAGTACGCCTCTTCCTCGATGAAGTCAGGCAAGGACGACGCGCGTCTGCCGCCCGTCCTCATCGGTCTGGTTCTGTGCACCGAGTGCCTGAGCTCTATTGTCCTCTCGGCCCAGCGTAGAGCAGATGCGGTCAAGGCGGCTCAGAAGAAGGGCCAGAATGTCTCCGCTTCCGCTGGCGGTGACGAGGAGATCGTCGCCGAACTCAAGACGGACAAGTTCATCGGCGAGCTCGTGTCCGTGCTCCAGGCGACGGACGCGTTCCTCCCTCGTGTCAAGCCGACAGCGGAGGAGAACACGACGCTGCCGTTCCAGAACGTGAAGCGCGACCTCGTCCGCCTCCTTGGCCTGTTGGCTTACGACGACACAAAGGTCGGCGACATTGTGCGCGAGAAGGGCGGCGTCGAGACCGTGCTCGGCATGTGTGAGACGGACGAGCGCAACCATTGTGAGTACTCAAGCGGGACGTTCCGTCTGCATCACACAGTGCGCAGGCGCTGCGCTACAGCTGTCATTGCTCTGAGTAGCTGACGACAGACCTCCGCGAACACGCCCTCCTCACCGTGCGCAACTTGATGACGGGCAACCCGGGCAACCAGGCTATCATCGGCAAGATGGCCCCGATCGGTCTTGTTGGCGAGGACGGCGAGCTCAAGCCGCTCCCGCAGCGCATCAAGGAGAGTCACGAGAAGGCTGCGTCGGCTGCCAACGTGCCCTCCTCTTCGGCGCCCCAGCCTGCGTCGGTGCAGGAGGTTCCGGAGACGAACGCGGCCGCCGAGCAGAAGGCTCCGGAGACTTCGGCCTGAGCTCCTTAGTCGCCGTGAGTCTTACTCGAGGAGCAGTGGCGGTTTCCAGCTTTGCCGCAGGCACGCTCGGCGGGGATCGGCACGCATGGCGCCGCTCCGACGCCGCACGCAACGGAGGGTCTCTCGCTCGTGCTCATTAGCGCCGGCTCAACTCTTATCCGAGACCAGCTTGCCGTTCAGCCGGCTCACTCGTCACGTCACAGCCCCAAGCCGTAGTGCACAGTCCGTGTGTGTCTCCGCCTTGACTGCCGGCCAGAGACTGCGGAGAGGGAGGCAAAAAGATACACAAAGGCTGCATGTAATACAATACAATTAACTGAAGATGTGCCGAAGGAGGGCATGTGGGGCGTCATTGTTCGTTATGTCGTTGCCAGCTTGCGGCAGATGAGGGGGTGCCTTACTAGACTGTGCCGTGGCGGTTGCCTGTCGGTGAGTAGGCTGTGTGCCGAGCGGCGGGCGTGTGTGGATGTGTGCGTATGAGGTGAGTGGCGCTCTGCTCACGGCTGAGCCGGCTGAGCAAGCGTAACGATGCGGGGCTGGGTGCGGCGCGTTGGGCGCGTTGAGGGGTGTCACCGTGCCTTTGTTCGCGGGGCATGTGTGCGGGGGCGGTGGGGCTTTCGGGGTCGGCAGTTGAATCTCGCTCATTCGGTAGATCGATCGAGTCATGGCTGCTCCTGCCCGACGACGAGCTGCTGCGAGCACTGTATGGGACACACGTCCTGACATCTAGGTGTCGTCGCTTTCGGTGTCGTCGTGGTGCCCGCACTCAGACTCGAGAGACTCGGGGGATCAATGTCGATATGTCGTGGCGGCGTCCCACGCCTGGGATCACTGGAGGGGCTGCGTTTCTTGCCCGCATTGACATCCTTGCTCGTCCGTCGGGTGTGCCCCTTCGATGCGCCGAAGCTCAGGCGCCCCTCGCCCATGATCCCCGATGCCATGTCCGACACTTTGTCGCCGAGCCCAAGCCGCGCTCTCAGCTTCTGGTTGTCCACCTCCAGAACGCCGACGCGGTTCGCCCACATCTCCGTTATCGACTCGTGATGCTGGCGCTCCTTGGAGAGACGTTGCTGGGAGCTCTCGAGTTGCCCGTGTAAGCGCGCGGAAAGGGCTTCAGCTTCCTTCAGTCGCGTACGCAGGTAGCGCACCTCTTTCTCGAGGTCCCCGCTTGGAGGCGGTGAGGGAGTGGACCGTTGCGGAACGGCAGGTAGGAGGCTCGGCGACATCGAGTGCGTCTGGGCGGGCCCCGCAGACCCGCGCCCAATGCTGGCCAGCAGGCTGGGACTGCCACTTGGCTGGCTGGGGTGGATGGTCATACTCGTGCTTGCGGGTTGAGCGACGTTGCAGTTCGAACAGACATGCACGCCCGTTGGCGCCGGCTGTTGTGCCGGGGTTGGCACCGCAGTCGCGGCGGCTTGAGGGTTTAGCGGAGGCGGCGGGAGACTCGCGGGCGCGGGCATGGTCGGTGGCCCGGGTGCATGAGCAGACGCCGGCATTTTGGTGACCGCGCCCGCAGAGCGGCCAGAAGCGCCAGAGCCATGAGAGCCGGCGAGCCCCGCGAGCGCCGCCAGGTTACATGTCACGTCGGATTGGTCGCGTTCGGAGCTAGACTGCGGCGAAGCCGTCGGGTTCGAATTCGCCTGCGGGACACTCCCATCGGTCCATGGGGGATCCGCAATTTCCTCGATGGTGTCGCTCGCCGGCGACGGGGCTCGTGTATCTATGTCCATCGGTCCGGGCTCGGAGTCGTTGGTGGGGAGTGAGAGGGCAGTGAAGATATGAAGACGCAAGAATGAAGGTGTGTTGGGAGTTGAAGTACTGAGGGACGACAGGCCTGCGGAAGGGTAGATGGCGCGACGGTGGAACACTTGGTGTCGTCACGATCAGGTGCTCAGCGGCGTATCCGTTGCTGTGCAACGTGCAAGAGAGCGGCGAAGGGCGAACACGCGATGCCGCCGGAGGTCGACCAAGAAGAATGCGAGCGGGGGAGGAAGATACAGCGTGGTGTGCAGTAAATGTAATCAATGCACGACTATAAGACTGAACCGCGCCTGCTGCGAGTGTAGCCGGTCGGTCGGAAGAGGAAGAGTTGCTTCCACACGTCAGAAGGGCCGAAGGCTGCGTCTGAGTCGTTTCCGTTGCTTCTGCCTGGACCTATGATGCGGCGGCGGCGGTGACGACTCTTAATGCGGTTTGGAGGCGAGCGTTTGCGGCGTGACGTGACGATCGCGGCGTGAGCGGGTAGGCGATTGCAGGCGAGGGGGTGAGCGGTCAGCGCTGAGCCAGTCTGATGTGATGAGCAGAAAGCTGTATCTGGTCTTGCTGCAATGTATCCATAACCCAATGTGTCAGTTGTGTCCGTCGCCGGGTCGCCGGGCGGTACTGGGCGGTGGCACGGTGTGTCCGGTGAGCACACCGTCGTCATAGGCGCAGTCGAGCGGCCACCTGCGCCGTACGGGCGACGCAGGCGGCGCGCGCGCGGCGGCGCCAACGCTCGCCTGTTTGACGTGCGCCTCTGTGCGCGGCAGCTCCGGCACCTCTCTGCTTGACGCACAGTGCACGAGCACAATATTGTCCTCTGCGCACCGACTTCGGTCCACTCTGTACTCTCAGATTGTGGTACTCGGTGGCTCTCCTGCGCGAGCAGGCATTCGACAAGTGAATGCACCCGGCCACAGATCCCGGACAGCTGACAGGGACCTTGGGGAGATGCTTCCTCCCCATTGTTAATTGCTCTTGGTGACAAGGCTCTAGAGCCCGATGAGCTCATACGCTGCCAAGTGAGACCGCGCACAAGCACGGGCGGCGTGGCTTCGGGGGTTCCGTCGCGGTTCCTCGGCATGCTTCCTCTCCTCACACGATCCCATTGTTTGGCCGCTTGGATGTCCGAGCACACAAGGAACCAGGAAACCAGGAGGGTGGCGGACCTGCCTGCAATGTCCTGTGGCGCTGGGCGCTGGGGGACAGCTGCGGGCTGAGTGCTGCGAATCTGGCGTTCGCTGGGGTTGTTAAGCCTAGTGCCTGGCAGCCCCCCAACACGGGCATGCAGCACGGGCATTGCCCAGCAAAAGTGTCCTGCGCACTGCAGAGTGCAGAGCGCCGAGAGTCGAACGGATCGAAGGCTGAGCAGCTGAGGAGAGACAGCGCACGACCCTCCGTTATTAGCCCTGCCAGCCTGCAAGCCGCCGACGTAACAGCCTTCAACCTGCATCTCGGGCCTGCCAGAGACGGGAGAGGGGGCTTTGTTGACGTCTCATAAGCTAACTCGAAGAACGTGCTTCTGTAGCACAGCAATTTCACTTCTGGTGACTCATCTGTGCCTTGCTCCTCCTGATCTCACTTGCTGCGTCATAACCGGCCCTACTGAGAAGCACGCGAGGACGGCTTCTCATTCCTCCGAAGTTGCTTCATTATCGATGTCATTCCTCTGTGCTGCTAGAGATTAGTGGTCAGTGGCAGCTTTCTGGTGGCACGGTTGCCATCAGCGCTCAGTTCTCCAGCCGAAAGTTCATCTGAGCGAGTGTTACAAGCAGAGAGAGATGGGTGTCACGGCACCACGTCGGGAGCTCTCACTCTACCGCACCAGCCATGCTGAGGGAGCTATTTTGGGTCAAGTAAGCAACCCTGCAAGCAGACCACACAAGCTGCCAGGTGGGCAACTGGGGCCGAACGCGCCACGCTCAGCCCGCACGAGCCCGTCGCACCTGACGCATGCCCCTTCCAAGTGCCTGTGGAGTCTTCGAGCCCTTGCTCGATTCCGCTGATTGCCCTCATACTGTGCCTTCAAATCTCCCCACATGCTCTCCAAGTGCCGGTCCCAGCGGATCGAGCACAGAGGTGCACCCTGTCTAGGCATGACAACCGGGGCGGATCCCTTGGTCATCATTGCGGCACGCACCGCGTTACGCTCGTCCTGTCGTGAGTCCTCTTCACCGCTTTAGTTATCCAATCGTTTCGCTGCCAAGGTCTGCGCGCGTGACTGGGGTAGGGCTATCAGATAGCTCTCAGATAGAGCAACATCCGCCCATTGTCCGGTATCGGGTGCACCTGTCCGCCCTGATCTCCGCTTCTCGAGAGGGGGTGCTTAATGTTCGTGCTGGTATTATTACATGGATGCTGTCTATGCCGTTTTCTTCTACATTCGTGAGTCTCAGAACTTGATGTTAACTATTGTCAGCTTCAAAACCTTCCCCGCTAGATCCACGCAGCGCGGGCCGCCACGACGCTACTTACAGCTCTCGCCACACCCGCAAGTGTCAACGATGTTCGGGTTGTCGAAGACGAACCCAGCCGACAGCTTCGTGTCGCGCCAATCCATTCGCGAGCCAATGATCGAGAACAGCGCCTTCGAGTCGATAAGCACGCGCACGCCGTCCTGCTCGACCACCTCGTCGAACTTGCCTCCCGGCGGGTCGACGTAGTCAAGGTGGTACGCCATGCCGGCGCAACCGCGGGTCTTGACACCTATCCGAAGAAGCTTGGGCTCGGTCGGGTTCGCCTGCAGAGCGCGGAGTCGCTCAATCGCCTCAGGAGTCTGTTGTGGGAAACATGATTGATTTCAAGAAGTTTAAAGGAAGGAGGGAGGATTGAGCATATCGACAGGTGTCGGAAAGTCACGTCAGTCTCGATCGCATGATTGGCCACTTAGCATACTCACCATAGTCAGAGCAGCCTTCTTGCTCTTGATCGTTCGTCGCGGGCGAGACGAGGAAGACGAGGACGAGGACGGCTTCGAGTCAATGTTCTTGCTCGGCTGAACGCTGGAGCCAGCCGACGCAGAAGCAGGCGGGTTGTTGAAGTTAGGCGGCGGAACCGTAGGCGTCGGCGTCGTTGTGCGGACCTCGGCGCGCGCCGGCGGCGTAGAGAGCAATCGGACAGCAGCGACAGTCCTCGGCGCCTGAGCGAGGAGCCGAGAGTGGCGAAGGACGGAGAAGGACATAGCGTTGCGAGTGGGCGGGTTGTCTGCGATGCGATGAAGTGTCCTTGTGTTGTAGTCTAAGTCGGTGTAGTTAAAATCAAGAATGTGTACCGGAGCAAGAAATGGACGGTGGTGTTGCGAGGAGTTAGAGCAGTGACGAAGGGCCGAGGTGGCGACAAACTGGCTGACTGCGATGGAGCTCTCGTCGGCGAATGTCGGGCGTAGGATTCGACGCTTGCAATAGCCCGCACGCGGTTGGCTGCTCGGCGGGTTTCCCACGGGTGCGGCGATGCGGTGACAACCTGGCCCCGGACCTGGGCTTGGGTGTCAGGGGTTGGGCTGGATGTGGTGAGTGTCGGGGTTGTCTGGAGTGATTTCTGTTGCAGGTGAAGAAGACACTCTCGATCTTATCGAGGCTATATCGAGTGAATCCTGCGGTAAGGATGGCGGCGCGCGGGTTCGGAGATCGGAGACCCTCGGACGTCCTTGGTTGGAGGGGACTAGTCAACTGATCATCTGAGAAGCCGAGGCTGCGGGTGATTTGCTCCCGCGCAACGTCACAGCATCCATAGTGACGCGCTTCTTTTGCCGAACTACGTCGCATATCTCCGTCCACGCCGACGTCCGATGTCCGATACCAGTGTCCTGCATAGCAGTGCATGCGGTCGGGCTAGATTGTGTACAGTGTGATACGATACAGTGACAGGTGGGCTTGAGAGCATTGGCCCTATCTCTCAGCGTTGAGGTGTTAAGGCTGGCCGAGTTGCCGCCGGCACAATGTGCACTTGTACCACCCGTCCTCAGCGAGCTTAGGCTTACACATACCTGAGAGGGTCAGCGAGCCATCGATCGGGGGTTTACTCAGCACACACTCACCCCCGACGTTCTCTCCGAAGCGGTTACCCTGGCATCGGAACCGCTTCGCCTCGCTGTAAGCGTCGTCAAGCGTCATGCTTGTCCTAGTTTGCGACTGTGTCTGCGTTGCTGTTCGCTGGGCCATTGCCGGTCGTGCCGTGCAGCACATCTGATCGCCGACTTGCTCTTTTGTATTACGGCGCCCACCTGCGCCCATCAAGCCATGACAGAGGAAGACTATTGTTCATGTCACGCATGCGCCGCCGCGTGTACGCTTGTTTGGCTAGCTGCCGCGTGCACAGCGTGCACAGACACTGCGTGCGCTTCCCGTGTGTACAATTTGTCGCTGCCGCTTCTGAGTGCGACGTAATGTAGAACGCTGTTGGTATCACTGCACTCTGCTCCACAAGCAGGCGGCGTAGCTTCTCGTGCTTCGAGGTGCAGCCAGAAATTGCTTCAGGCTGAAAGGAACCGTTTCAGTGCAGCAATCTCGACTGAAACTGGGCACCCCACTCAGACGTACAGACGTCGGAATTGTTATCCAGTACTGGAAGACATCTTCACTAACCGGCGCAAGGGAAGGCATGCCCAGAGATGGGGAGATTGAGGTTTCGCTCCAAGCCGCGATCGAGTTGCGGTAGGTCGCGCGTCATCCGAGTGAGGGTCCGCATCTTCGTCAGTGAGCACAGCGGTCACAATCGAACACTTGGACTGAGGCAGTCGTGGAGCGCTCACGTCGGACCTGGAGATTCTACGGCCCTGGGCCAAGTACGGCGGCGGTCGACGATCACGCCCTCTGTGAGCTGACTGCGATCTTTCGAGCAGATGGGGCATCGAGGCGCGCCACGAAGCGCTGGAACGCCTATCACGTTAAGAAGAGCCGCTGGTTGAACTCCGGTACCTGCTGTCAGCGTTCGAGGGCCATCCTGCAGTGCTTTTCTTTAGGCAGTCAGCTTCTCTAGGCAGTCAGCCGCTTCGAATTGGTCAGTAGTGGTCCCCTTGCCTGTCCCAGAACATACGGGGGCGCCCCGGATCTCCAGCACTCTCGTTAGCCTCCCAGTCATACAGCCGAGATCCGGAGGAGGGTGACAATCAGCGGCTTTGCCGAGTGCGGCGTCTTGAGCTGTGATGACTGAGCTTGCGGGTCCCGGAGGCCGGCCCGTGCGTCGGCAGCGACGGAACAGCGGCAGCGGACATTCTCCTCCGAGTTGGCATTAGCGGGCGTTATCCGGCGCAGCATTAGCTGGGCAGCACGGGCGGCAAGAAGCATGCAAGAAGCACGGGTGGAGCTCCACTGAGCTGATGATGTCGTGGGGAGTCGGGGCGCCGGGAGATGTCGGAGCAAGAAGCAGATCCAACAGGAACTGTGATCCTTGATTCTGCGGCTGAAGGTAGAAAGGGGTGAGGCTAGACGAGCGCACGGATGAATTGCAGACACGGCCAGTCAGCAGTCGGCTACTGCAGCCTCACACCATGCACACGCTGCACAGCTGGGGAAGCATGAAGGGTTGATGAGGAGCTCGCCTGTAGCAGCCAGCCCATACCGGAACAGCCTGTGGCCAGGCGCGACCGCCGCCCATGTTTCAGATCCTGCAGTATCTCAGCATCACCGCTCGACCGCTCACTCGGTGCCAGCGGCGTGCGAACCGATCCAACCGTTGCGTCTTCCGAGTTCGGAGTGGCTGAGGGGAGGAAACGAAGGAAGAGAACTGGGTCATATGTCGAGTCCAATTCAGACAGAAGGGCTAGCCAAGCCGAGCCTGGCAGCGCAGGGCAATAGACTCGGCACACCTGGGACCACGACGCTTGTTACAGGAGGGAAAATCAAAATCAACGTGGGGACCCCGCACGGGCCGCAGTCTATTTGTGCGGGTACCTGCCAACGAGACGGTTTCAACCGTTGCGACGGGCCGTACTGTATTAGCGTATTACCCTCCGCTTACTGGAATCCCTGGCGGGCTGTTATTATTGTCGACGTTGATCCATCGGCTCGCGCTGGCTGCACCTGTCTTCCTTCCACTCCTTCACACTCGACACACACCACCCACTGGCCGCCCCGCGCGGCATTGCTTCCCATTGAACAGCCATCATGTCGCGCCAGGAGAAAGATGCGCTGCTGGCGCTCTTCAACTCCTTCAGACCCTCGCGGAGGGTCACGTCGTTCGAGCAGCTTAGCGATGGCAAGGTCCTCATGGAGGTGAGTCTCGTGCACCTTCCTTCCTCCCTCCTGGTAGGCGAATCAACAGTCTGCTAACTCGCATCAGGTGCTTCATCAAATGTACGGTGGCGACTCGAATGCTCACCTGCATGCAGTGATACTGACAGCACAGCGATGCGACACACTTCAAGAGTGGGCCGAAACCTCGCCCCGGCTCGATGTCGGGCGCTGTCAACGACAACTGGGTGCTCAAGATGAACACTCTGTGAGCTTCCCGCCAGCACGGAGAAGAGCTGACGAAGTAGCAAGCGACTCTATCGCCTACTCCTTGCATATCAGCTTCACCACCCAAGTGCGCCGACACTTGAGGTCACCTCCCTGCATGAGCCGAACTTCAACGCTATCGCCCGAAACCCGCGGAGCGCTGAGGGCTCCGCCGGTCTGCTGCAGATCTCTCGGTTCTGTGTGGCCGTGGGTGCCATGGGTCCGTCCAACGAGCGTGTCATTGCCAAAATCCAGGCACTCGACGAGGGCTCGATGGTCGAGCTCATGAAAACCATCGAGGGCGTGAGTTTTTCGCCGCCGCCAAGCGGCCGTCGGTGGCAACCGGAGCCACTAGGTCAAAACAAGCGGTCCGTGCTGACATTGTCCAGGTCATGGCGACATTGCCGGCACCAGTCGAAGACCCGTCCAAGGCTGACGAGATCTCGTACGTCCATCGCTGAAACCGACTCCCCGTGGCTTACACCGCAGTCCACCCTTCACCGCCGTTCGTAACGAGCGCGACAAACTGATTTCCGAAAATGAAGAGCTCCGCGCTCGCTGCGATCAGCTCACAGAGCAAGTGTCTTCCCTTGCGAAGCAAATGGATGCGGCCAAGCAGGAGCAGGAGGCCGAGCACCGTGCCTCCGTTGATTCCGCCACTGCTCGTGCCACTGCGGCCGCACAGAGTGCCGGAGAAGCCGAATTGCTGCGGGCGGACCTCCAACGAGCAGAGGATGGGTTAGCGCAGACCGAGGCCGAGCTCGAAAAGCAAACGGCTATCATTGCCGAGCTGACCCGAAACGTGAGCTTTGTGGCACCCGACAGAAACTGGACTAACGTCAGTGCGAAGAGCTGAAAGCGACTGCATCGGAGGTCAGCCGATTGCGTGAGCAGGTCGAGGAGTCCAAGCAGGTCGAGGAGAGGCTGCATCGCAGCGAAAATGTGATTGAGAAGTACAAGAAGAAGCTTGAAGACTCGGCGGGCGTGCGCAAGGAGTTGCGGCAACTTGAGCAAGAGAACGCCGCCCTGATCGACAAGAACTCGGCCCTCGAGGTGGACCTTCGGAAACTCAGTGCTTCCCGAGCGATGGTCGACAATTACCGCGCCCAAGTCGAGGCTCTCGAGAAGAGAGTCAATGAGCAGGCCGAGGAGTTCGCTCACCTCACCGTCCAGTTGGAGGAGGCGCAAACCAGCGTCGCACCCTGGAGCGAGAACGTGATCGTCTGCGAGACGAGGTCCACATTCACCAGGAGCGCATCAAGGAGCTGGAGTATGCCCCGGCTCGTCGCGAGTCGGCCATCTCCAACGAAGGCGACATGTCCCTTAAGGTGGAACTTGAAGCCGACGATGTAATTGAGGCTCTCAGCAAGCCGCAGCTGCGCTTGCGCATCCGAGAGCTTGAGCGGAAGCTCGCCAATGCGAAGGGCTCTGGGGACGACAGCGACCGCGTGACGACTCTGGAGGGACTCCTTGCCGATGCCTCCAAAGCTCGTGAGCGTTACCAGGCCGACTACCTGGAAGCGAACCGCAACATGTTGCTCGCCCAGGCAAAGCTTGAGCACATTCTCTCTGGCAAGGCTGGAGATGCCAAGCAGACTGCTTCGGCCATGCAGCAGAAGCTGGACGACATGGCCGAGGAGCGGGAGAAGCTCTACCGGGACACGCAAGCCGCCGAAGACGCTCACGCCGACCTCGTCCGACAACTCACCGCTGCCAAGGCTGATCTCGCTCTCGTTGATAAGGACAAGCGTTCGATTATTAGCAGCGCCCGTGATGAGGCCAAGACGGAGACCGCCAAGTTCAGCGAACAGGTCAATAACCTGCAGGAGGAGATCGCCCTGCTGCGCGAGCGCGACAGGCTCCACCTCGAGGAGATCCGCCGCCTTATGGTCGACAAGATTGAACTTCAGAGTGCTGGGTTCGAGCGCAGACTTAGCGAGGCGCGCTCTTCGCTTGGCGGAACCCTTAGCCCCAAGTCGGCCGAGCGAGATGGCCTCCAGAGGCGCAACGATGAGCTGCTCACCGAGGTTGCCAAGCTCACTGACAAGCTCAAGAAGGCGCGTGCCTTCATCAAGAACCAGGACGCCCTATTCCGTGCCGATCACGACAAGAGACTCGAGTCCGGTACGCAAGAGACCGCCAAGTCGTACGAGACCCAGATCCAGCAGCTGCGCAACGAGCTCAGTGTTGCGAAGGTAGGTTTACTCCGTTTCGAAGTCGCTAACCGATCCCAGCACAACGCACTTTCTCTTGACAGCCGATACCGCCTTGAGCAGCAGCTCATGCTCTCCGCTTGGCACGACTTGGGAGCCCGAGTTGTGCGCGACCACGTCGGCGCCGCTGGCTTACGCCGTCCTGTGGTAAGCCGCCCCACCGCGACTAGCTGGCTCGCCAGGCAACGCAGGCATCAGGATGATGCCCTCTTTGCTCGTTGACGGCAAGGGCTGACCGCGGGTGCGCGCGTTGTGGCAACCTTCATGCTGCGGCGCCGCGGAGGCTGAGTTAATCCTCACTGTTGTGTAGAGGTATTCTCGCGCCCTGTGAATAGAGAGTTGTCTCGTCTCCCTTCCAACATTCAGTCCCATCACCGTGCCTGTTGAGGGAGAGGTAATTGACTATAACAAGAGAGACCAAGCCAAGAGACGAGCAAGAGCGAATGAATGAGCGGAAGAACAGCTTAGACGAGGATGTAGTAGAGACCGTAGAGAAGAGATTGCTCCATCCCCATGACCACCACATCTACCAATACCACCATCAGTATAACACCTTCCCATTCCGTCCAACGACCAAGAAACGACCACCACCCCGATCCTCACTGTCCCTACAAGTTTATGTTATTCCACTCGCGCTCGTAGCCACCACATTCTACTTCCTCTACTTTAAAGCTCGCGCATATAGAATTTGGGTATGAATCACTATTGGAACCACCCTCTCAGCGTTTGGGGCGCTTGCAGCGACACCCCTTTCTGTCTGGCGATTTGCCACCCAAGCTCGAACTTGGGCAACCAGGCACGGCTGGCCGGAGAGATAAAGACGGCCACGTGGGTTTGCTTCCGGACGTTTTCCAAGTCCGCCAGAAATCTCGGAACGCTCACCTGCACGAGATCGAGCACACCGAAGTTGACAGCTTGCACCCCACCTCACTCGCCATGGTCCTCTACGAGCTGTTCTGTATCGCGTCGCACAACCCCCAGACGCCGGTGAGTCCGACTTCCACCCTTCGCCGCCTCCTCCTTCCGCCGCTCCTCCTCGCCGCGACCTTCCTCGGGCTGTTCCGACTTTTCAGCAGTTCGGTTCTCGATCGCGTGCACGCTTCTTCAACAGGCGAGGACGAGGATGGAGGACGGAGGAGGAGGAATCCTGAAGCTTCTACAAGTGGCGACGCTAGCTGACATGGCAGCAAAACTTGCGCGGTCTTATTCAGAACATCGCCCGCAAGGTGCACCTCCAGGGCGGCGTTGTGCGGGAAGTCAAGGGTCTCGGTATCGGTCTCACGCTGCCTGAGCGCATGAAGCGAAACCAGCAGGCGCACGATGTTGGAGAGTGAGTCGACATTTGGGGAGTGATATCGCAGCGAGCCAAGTGGAGGAAGGCGGGAGATACGGCTGTGGGAGGATGGAGAGACATCGGATGCCTCATTGCGTGCGAACGCTCCCTGGCGCCAATGCCTTGAATGCTGGCGAAGTTGAGGCGTGGCTTCCGATAACGCTTCCACCGCCGATTTCAACTCGTTCGCCGAGGGGGCGCTTGTTCAGTATCAAGCTCTCGTCAACTGTTCAGCGTCCCCGGCCGCTGAGTCCGACGACCCGTCCTTCTCATCATTGTGACGTCCTAGCCCGACTCGGCCCATTCTACACTTCCGTTGCCATGTCTCGCGTCCTAGCTGGAGAGTAGAATCCCGAAAGCTAACATCAGCCACTTTACGATGATGTTCGACACGTCTCCACTGCTACTGAAGCGTCTGAACGCTGCGATGCGTCGTGACCCGCAGGTCATCCGATGGACTTTCCTGAAGAAGGGAGATGGACTGTGAGTACGGCGTTACTGCCGTGCTCGGAGAGTACTGGCGGCTGTGTTCACGGGACTTGCTGTTGCGGCGGAAGGGCGCCATGGCTAGGCCTGGTCTCAATCAGCAGCCTGGCCGAGGACTGCGCCCCGTGCTGTTGAACGCGGGCACCTTTACTCTCTGCGGCACGGTATAGAACAGCTGCGCGAGTGTTGTACCGAAAGCTGACGAGACCAGGAAGAAGATCAACCCTCCGGCCCCGTCGACCATTAGCGAGCTCGGCCCCGAACAGCGGGGCATGCACTAAATCTCTCATTCATTGTATGCATAGTAGTCATGATCATCGCGTTCCCCCATCTCATCTCCTGTTGCATTGCATCTCCTCACCCATGCATGAGCGCATGTATTCTGCGCAACATTGCATCACAAGGCAGGGACGTCATGAAGGCGGAGGGTGCCACGGGCCATTTCGCCGAAACCCCAGGGTGGTGGTTCAGTCCCAGGCAGGCCCGGCTGCTCGCGGCGGCTCAGCCAGTGGTGCAGCGTTGAATGATCAGCACTCGTCGAGCAGCACCAGCAACACACCACTCACCATGTCGATGTCTCTTGCGCGCACGATCAAACACGCCCGGGCTGTTGGACTCCGCCAATGGGTCCACGAGATGCAGTGAGTAGAACTGCTCCGACCCTGCGAGTACCGGAAGGAGACCGACGCCGACCGACCGAACCACCGCACGGCGACGCAATGCACTTCGGTCTCCGGGACGGCGTGGAGCGGCGTAGAGCAAGCTGCGTCGAAGATGTTAGAGCTGACAGACAGGACCATCGGTGACGAGAAGCTCGGTACCAAGGGTTAGTACGACTTGACGGAGCGCGATCGACTGCGAAATCGAAGATGTCTCGCGCAGAGTGTTTGCGAGAGGGCTGCCGGGATTACATGCGCGCTACCATGTACGCTTCGGAGCGTGCGTTCTGGAATTCCAGCCAAGAAAGCCTGGAGGTTGGCGTAGGGGACCGTGGAAGTGCCGGAACCGGTGCGGAGTCATGATCGTCGCGCACGCCAAGCTGTCGGAACCAGCGATTCGTAGCTAACCAACAGTTGGTGAGGACGAGTTCGGCAACCGGTACTACGAGAACTACAACCCGCGCGAGGAGCAGCCTGGTCGTCAGCGCTGGGTCGACCTCGTCCAGTACGACTTCAACGCTACGCAGATCCCGCGCCCCTGGGCTTCGTGGCTCACCCAGATCCGCCTCGACCCCCCTACCAAGGACGAGGTTGTTCTCAAGAGCCAGCAGCCCTGGCAGGTCAAGTGGAACGAGACTCTGTGAGTAGCTCTTATTGCGAAGCGGAGAAGAGACAGGAGAGCGGAAAGTGGAATGTGCAGCTCTGTCACACTGTACGATGAGAGCTGACCGCAACAGTACCGGAACTCGTGGCCGCTTCATCACCTACAACACTGCCCGCCCTAAGGTCACCGCCTGGGAGCCCCAGGTCAAGGCCCGCGGACAATAAACGCATAATATAGCCCAACATGCATGAAATAGACTGACAGACGGTTGTGGCGAGTGATACATGGCTACTGCTCTACAATCTAAAGCTCGACCTTGACCTTGACAGCCGAATCGTCCGCCGGCTCGCTCGGCACGACCTCCTCAATGATAGTGACGGTGTCCGGCTCCTGCTTGACCTCTTTGACCCCCTTCTTCGCCTTCTTGTTCTTCTTCTTGTCCTTCTTGCTCTTCTTCTTGCTTTTGCTCTCCGCAGCGTCGGTGTCCGCTGCCCGCTTCTTGTCCAGCTCCTGCTTCACTGCTCCCGCAGCTGCCCCCGCGGCTCCCGCAACCGCTGCTCCCGTGACGGCTGCTCCGCTGGCAACAGCTGCTCCCTGCGTCACAACATCCTCGACTACCCTCCGCGCCGGCTTGCCGGTGAGCCCCATGCGAAGCAGCCTGAAGCTGCCTCCGACCCACCAGGCGGCGAAACCACCCACGCGGTCGAGCACTCGGCGCTTGATGACGTACGCAACGCAGAGGAGGAAGAACGTGAACGCGGCGGCGATGATCGCGCGGTCCCACCAGTCCGCCTTCTCGAGCGCCTTCACAATCTTGCCCGACGCACCCAGCAGGTCGTTGTACCGCTCGTACAGCGACTGCGTGCTGCGAAGTGTCTCGGTGGACGAGTCTGAGGTCAGCTGACATCATCCTTCTCCACCAGCTGGAACTTACCAAGCATCTGGACACTGAGCACACTACGCTCCAGCTCAGCCTGCATTAGCTGCGTCGTTCGTCGCAGGGCGTCCGTGACTTCGTTCGTTTTCGTCTGCAAGGCGTCCTCGCCGCTGATGTTAGCTCATGAACGACACTCAGAGTAGCTCACCCAACTACGCCGCTGCTCTCCTCTATTTCCGGCTGCAATCGCGACTCGTCCAGCTCGTAGCGCGCATCTGCTTTCGCCTGATTCCGCTTGCTGTCGACGAGCGCTGTACGGTATGCGCGGTGCACGCTGTTGTCAGCTCAATACACTGAGAACAAAGCTACGCACCTCGCCCACTCATCCTCAAGCGCCAGTACCTGGCTCAGCAGCTCTTCCCTCCTTGCTCCTGCGAGCTCGGCCGTTTCCCTCGCATCCTCTAAGCCGACGCGCACGCTCTCGAGATCCGCCCTCGCTTCACCGGCAAGGTCGCGCGCCAGTGTCGTAGACTGGGCAAGCCGTGGGATCTGGTACTCGCGCACGTCGGCGAGGCGGCGAGCGAGCGCCGGTAGTGTGTCGAGAATCTCCTGCGCCATCCTCCTGGGATTGTTGTGGAAAGCTGTGATGTGGTCGAAACGAATGTCAGATGTGGAGGAAGCCAAAGAAGTGACGTTTCGACATGTCGATTCTGACGTTTCAGGGCCGGCCAGCCAGGACCGCCATTCAGCGCCGCTTGGCCGATCACCGGCTCCGCACTTGTTGACACGAGGTTGCGTCTTCCTCGTCTTCCTCCATCTATACCCAATGTCCACCGCCGTCGTCGTGCACAAGAGAAGACGAGAAAGGCGACAATGTGCCCGCTACCCCGTGCGCTCCGTCTCTGAAACGGCGAAGAGTCTGCTCCCGCAGCTCAAGGACCTGGACTCGACGACGATCGCCGTGCTCTCGGCCCTTGGAGGTACAGCACTGACACTCGGCGCGCTCACCCTCGGCAAGCGCTGGAAGCGGATACGCAACGCTGACGGTGTACCACCGCGTCTGCTCGACAACCAGGGCTCCATCGTCGGAGTCGTCACTCGGTAAGCTACGAACAATATGGAGGTCTCAGCTGAACGGCAGCGTAGGCGATGGTGACGGGTTTAGGCTGTACCATACCCCTGGACCGTTCTGGCGTGGACCACTAAAGCTGCGCAAAGTCCCAACAGCGCCGAAGGGTGAGTTGTTTTGCGCGCTAGTCCGAACAACTCTAACGAGGAGCAGACCTGAAGAACGAAACGCTGTCGGTCCGCATTGCTGGCGTGGACGCCCCGGAGCTGGCACATTTCGGAAACCCAGCTCAGCCCCATGGCAAGGAGAGTCTCGAGTGGCTCACGAAGACTGTTCTCGGCAAGAGGCTGCGGGTACAGGTCCTTCGGAGGGATCAGTACGGACGTATCGTGAGTGACGGGCACGCAGCTTCAGCTATACTTGCCCTTTTGAGGCTGACAAGCAGGTCGGCATTCCTTATATCACGCGCTGGATTCTACCCGATAAACCTCTTCCTCTCATGATGCTGAAGGAGGGTCAGGCTGTCGTGTACGAGGCCGGTGGCGCCGAGTACGGTAAATGGGGCTTGGAGAAGATGAAGCAGATCGAGGACGAAGCTCGGTGAGTTGGCCAGCCTCTAGCACTTAACTGACGCTCAGTCGCGCCAGACGCGGTCTCTGGGGGGCTAAGAGGATCGAGCTTCCTGGTGACTACAAGAAACGCGTACGCGAGGGCGGAGACGTGCATGAGACAAAGCAGTCGGGGAAGGAGAGCTGGTGGCACATGATGGGACGGTGGCTTGGAGGGAAGACCTGAACAACAACAAACAACATGTAGCACGAAACGCATGCTTCACGAATCACGAATACATACCTACGTATCTCATCTCTATAATCTGCTCTCGCAGGCTTCTGCAACAGGTGCATTGGACGCTGCTCAGCAGACATGTCATGAGGAAGACAGCTGGCAGAGCTAAAACGCGGTACGCGCCCAAGCCGGAAATTGCCTCCGGCCGCCCCGCGTCATCTCGATGTTGTTGACATCGCCGCGCCCGCTGGTCGTCATCAGCACCATCCACCATGGCCACCGTGCCGTTTACGCCGAGGCCGACGCGCCAAAGTGGCCGCTACTTCACGCCGAGAGATTTGCAGCGCGTGAGTGTCATCGATGCTTAGGTGCCTGACATCGAACGCGTCTACGCCGCCCAAGAGCCTCCAGTTCGGACCCCTAGCTGACAACAGTATGCGACGACCATCGCCAGTGTGCGCGGCAAACCGACCGACGAGATTCTTGAGGAACTGGAGAACTCCGGAGATGCTGCTATCCGGGCCCAGATCGGTACGTCTTTCAGCTGGAAGCAGCCGGCCTTAGCTGACTTCAGACTTCGCTCGAGAACACGAACGACGAACGACACCCAGCACCGCTGCGAGCACACTGACGCGGGGTGAACGGGCCGAGTCGCGTGCTGAGACTCGATCCGACAGCCGTGCTGAGAGTAGGACGGAAAGCCGAGCGACCGATCGTGATCGTGAACGTGTGCGCCGAGAACGAGAGCGCGAAAGCCGACCGAGCTCAAGCGGTAGCTACCGCGATCGCGAACGTGACCGCGAGAGAGAGAGGGAGAGGGAACGGGAGCGAGATCGCGGAGAACGACCACGGAGCGACTCCCTAAGACATCGTGAACGTGAGCGCGAACCGCAAACACGTGTGACCGTTGAGGTTGAGGTGGACGGACATGCCGTTGCTGGAACCTCAGCAACAACGTCAAGACCTCCCCCGCCGGCAAGGCAGCTCGAGGGCGTTCCCCTGGCGGTGCAGGAAGCGTGGATCTGCGAGGATCTCATGTTCGTCTTACAGGGCGTCGAAGGAGAACTTATCCGTTATGCTGAGGGGTATGACCCGATGGACGTTGAGCAGCGCCTTCAGGGCGCCCGATGGCAGGTCGATCCTACACTCGGTGAGCTACGCCCTTCGAATCGGCTAAGCTGACATCAGACCCATCGCTGCTCTCGCTCGTGAACCGTCTCCTGCCGATAGCTACGTTCTTCACGTCCGTGGAGGCGTCGATCGAACTCCGTAACTCACCAGAGTATGGCATGGTTGGCCATGCGCTCTCGGCGGGCATCCGCGGTATGCTGAAGGAGTATCGTGTGCTCACGGCGCAACTCGAGTCGTTATTCCTGACGAGTCCGACATTCACGCTGCAAACGCTCTACTTCCACTTGCACCCGACGCTGCACACGATGTCGCTGCTCAGCAGCCTCTGTACGGCGCTCGAGACAGACGAGAAGCCGAACGACGACGACGCATCAGACGATGATGATGATGGGCTCGGCGGCATGGCCGAGGAGCTCGGACTCGGAGGCGCCCTCGGACTCATGCGCAACTTAAAGGCGCAGGAGGGTCTGATCAACGGAGGCGGATTGGTCGTAGGGGGCGAGGTGCTTGGCATCATCTGCGAGCGAGAAGCGACCATGAGCGGGTGAGTTGCTAGGGCACGTTGTTCAACTGACCTCAGTGATCCGACCGCGACGTCTCTGCACTCGCAACTCCTGCTGCACGCCTCGCAACCGTACGCTCGCATGCTGCTCCGCTGGATCTCGACAGGCAAGCTGTCCGACCCGTACGACGAGTTCATGGTGAAAGAGTCTGGGCACATCACCAAGGGTGCGCTCGAGTCGGACTACACGGACGAGTACTGGGACCGGCGGTACACGCTGCGTGATGGAAGCTCGCTTGCGTCCTCGTCAAAGGTGCAAGGCGCGAAGGCGCCGAGTCTCGGCGCTGCCCCGAACCCGCGGCAGGGTACGAACCGGCTGCCGGGCGGAGCGTGCATCCCCGCGTTCCTGCAGCCGTGGAAGCACAAGATTCTGCTCGCTGGCAAGTACCTGAACGTGATGCGGGAGTGCGGCATCGATGTGAAGAAGGACGACGAGGAGGCGGGCAGCGACCAGCCGATCGTCATGAACGAGCCAAAGTATGTCCAGCTTTGTCGCTTTCGGACTCAAAAGCTGACTCCAGGTTCTACAAGCGGATCGAGGACGCGTACATCTACGCAAACCGGACGCTGCTCAAGTTGCTGGTCGAGGAGCAGGAGCTGATCCCGCACCTGCGGTCGCTGAAGCACTTCTTCTTTGCCGACCAAAGCGACTTCCTGACCAACTTCCTCGACCTGGCGCATTCCGATCTGACCAAGAAGAGCGCCAAGCAAGTGTCGATTGTGAAGCTGCAGTCCCTGCTCGATCTGGCCGTGCGCAACCCCGCATCCTCCTCCTCAAACGACCCCTACAAGGACAACCTGAAGGTGACCATGGCAAGCCAGGGACTGTACGACTGGCTGCTGAAGATTGTGACGCACACGAGTTCGCTCGAGGACGGCGAGCTCGACTTTGCCCTGTCTGGGGACACAGGGGCGAAGGACAAGGAGCTCCTGGGCATTGACGCGGTCACGTTCGACTACCAGGTCAAGTTCCCGCTCTCGCTCGTCATCTCGCGCAAGGCGATCACGCGGTACCAGCTCCTGTTCCGGTTCCTGGTGCACCTGCACCACCTCGAGGCGGGGCTGTCGGGCATGTGGCTCGAGCACAAGACGCCTTTGTGGGGCCCGACGGGGAACGGGGACATGGACGCGTGGGCGCGGCGCATATTCGCGCTGCGCGCGCGCATGCTTGCGTTCGTGAGGCATATGCTCGCCTACGCCACGGGCGAGGTGCTCGAGAGCAACTGGCGCGCACTCGAGGCGCAGCTGGCAAAGGTGCAGACCGTCGACCAGCTCATGCGCGACCACGTCGACTTCCTCGACACGTGCCTGAAGCAGTGCATGCTGACCAACTCGAAGCTGCTCAGCGTCTACTCCAAACTGATGCGCACGATCTCGAGCTTCATCGCGTACCATGATCGCAACTTTGTGGCCGAGATGGAGGCGTTCCGGAAGGACCCCGTGCGGGGGAATGACGCGGGCAAGGTTGAGCACCGCTGGAACCAGCTCAAGAAGTTTGAGCTCCACTTTACGCACAACACGAATCTCCACCTCGACGCCGTCACGTACAATGCTGGGAGCGAGAATGTCGCCCTCCTCGCGCTCGTCACGAGGCTGCACCAGACCACCCTCAGACGATAGTAGTCAGTGTGGAGCTCTTTGTATTTGACATGCAACCCTTAATGATGAAGCCCATGTTCGAGCGAGAAACCAAACCCATACATCTTGAAAAAATCCCCTACAAGTTATCTTTCCTCCTGTCTGTTCTCTGTGCTGTCCTACTTATATCAAGCGCCGGCCTGTTTATATGGTGTGGATGGGGCTGGGCGGTGGCGGTGGGTGGGGGTGGGCGCGCGTCGGCGTGCCGAGCGCGGCGTGGTGATTGTTTGTTGTTGGTGTGGGGGTAACTTCGGGCGCCTAAGCGGAGCGGGGAAATGGTAATCGCCTCTCTGGAAAGAGAGAGGAGGGTATCGATATCGTGACAGGATCGGGGAACGCGGAAAAAAGTGTTGAGAAAAAAAAAGAGAAAAAGAAAGTTCAAACTGGAAGAGAGGCGAGGGCGGTGAGCGCCCTTCAAGCCAGTCGAGTTGAAGTGCTGAATAAAGAGAGAGGACCAAAAACAATCGAGAGATGATGATAGTCAAAGCAAAGGAAGAAATGAGTGGGAGAAAAACGAATGGGTGTCGAGAGCCATGGGATCGAATTTTGATGTGTCGCGTAGAAAGTACGCGGCTTAGAAGCACTTGAGCTTCTGGTCCGAGCGCTTGCTGACCTTGGCGTCGACCATGCGGTCGAGCTTGGCCTTACACTGCGCAAGCTCGGTCTTGGACGCCTCGAGGCGCTGTCGGTCCGCGATGCGCTCGTACTGGCAGTCGGCGAGCTCGTTCTTGATCTCGACGAGGTCGCGGCGGAGCGAGTCGCGCTCGCGCTTGAGCTCGGCCATCTCGCGGTTCACGTCGTCGACGCGCACCTTGAGCTTCGAGTTGTTCTTGCGCAGCTCGATCAGATCCTTCGTGAACGCCTCGTTGTCCTTCTGCGCACTGCCCAGCGAGGACTCGAGCTCGATGAGCTTGTCGCGAGCCTCGGTTAACGAAGCGAGCGCCTCCTCGCGCTCCGCAAGCGCCTTCTCGACCTCAGCGACAGTGACGAGGCTCTCGGGACGCAGCGAGACCGCGTGGCCATCGTGCGAGTCGTACTTGCTGGAACGGGCCGACTCGACGCTGCCCTCGTGCGCGCTCGTTCGTCCGGGGAGAGACGCGTTCGTGAGCGTCGGAGACAGGATCGCCTCCCGTCCCGCCGGGAGTGGCGGGAGCGGCGCAGTGGGCGGCGGCCCGATAGGCGGCAGCTTGGAGCGCGAGCTGCGGTCGATCATCTGCTTCGAGTCCCGGTTCTTGGACAGCTCCTGGTTCTGCAACTTGAGGTCGGCCGCCTCAGCGGACAGCACAGAGCAGCGCTTCTCCAGCTCGGCGAGCTTGTTCAGGTCCGCGGAGCGCTGCACCTCGTGCTCGTCCCTGATCTTGGAGAGCTCAAACTTGAACTGGTCTGCCTTCATCTTGAGCTGGCGCTTCTCGTCCTCGGCGGCCTGCAGCTCCTTCTCCATCTCCTCCATGGCCTGCACAATCATGTTGTGCTCCTCGGCAGGCACCATGTCCTCGTCGTGCGAGGCGGCAGCCGCGCCACCGGCAGCACCCGCAGCGAGACCAGCGGCAGCGGCAGCGGCGGCAAGAGCAGCGGGCGACGTGCGCTCCGACAGCTCCTGCTCGGCCCTGAGCTTGGCCTCGTTGGCGGCGGCGAGCTCATCACGGAGCGACTCGACAGCAGCGGAAGAGGCGGTGAGCTCGTTCTGCAGCTTGGACAGGACATCGGCGTGGCGCTGCTCGACCTCGGCGATATCCTTGTTGTGCGAAGCAACGAGGTTGTCGCGCTCCTGCTGGTGGCGCCGTCCCGTGGCCGCGAGCTCCTCCCAGGCCGCGTCAAGAGCCGACTTCATGTCGCTCTCCTCACCGCGCTCCTCGGTATGCCGTGTCTCGAGGTCGGCGAGATTGCGGGCGTGCTCCTCGCGCAGCTCCTCCATCTCTGTCTTGTGCTGGGCGAGCGTCTCCTCGAGCTTCTGTCGGATGGCGCGCGCCGTGTTGTTGTGCTCGTCCTCGAGCGCCGTGATCGAGCGCGCGTGGTTGACAAAGATCTTGTCAATCTCGTCGGCGTGCTCGCGGCGCAACCGCTCAATGACGTCCTCCGTGTCGAACGACGCTGGCGTCGTACCCTGCTCAAGCGTCTTCTTCAGGTACTTGATCTCGGCCTCGCGCTGCTTCAGCTGGGCGTCACGGTCCGTGACGGCCTTCTGCAGCAGGTTGATGTCGATCTCGAGGCTCTGCACGGAGCGCATCGGCTTCGACTCGAAGGGCATCGACTGACGCTTCGGCGAACGGTCGAACTTTGGCGATCGCTCGTACGCGGTGAGAGTACCGTTGCCGTTAGCAGGCGGGCTCCAGGAGTAGCGAGGCGAGTTGCTCATGTACGCTAAGCCGTTGATGCTCTGGGAGAGGGAGAGGGGGCGCAGGATGCGCTCGCTGTTGATGCGGCGCGCGTCAATTGAGTTGGCGCGGAACGCAGCGTAAGGCGAGCGCTGGAGAGAGAGGGGGTCGTCGGTGTGGATCTGGGGGGAGACAGCGCGGCTCGCAAGCTTGGGCGTCTGCAGCGTCGTCTCGCTCTCGCTCGACTCGTTGCCGGTGGATCCGCGCTTGTTGTTCGTGGTCGAGTCGCCGTCGCGCTCCTCGTCCTCGTCCTCAAGCTCCTCGTCGTGCTCTGATGGGGGCTCGAGGGCAGGAGTTGCAGGGTGCTGCATCTCGTGGCGCATCTCGATCTCACGGAGGCGCATGAGGAGGGCCTCGTTCTCCTTGCGGAGAATGTCAACCTCGGACTCAGAGTCCTCAGCAATCGTGCGCAGGGCAGGGGTCTCGGGTGGCGTCGGGCTCGTCGACTTGGGCGCGTCGTGAGACGGTTCAAGAGCAGGAACGGGGACGTCCTTGGCGAGAGCAACGGTCGGGGATACAGCCGACTTCTTCGGCGTGATGTCCGCGTCCCCCGCGGCCTCAACCTCCTCAGGCAGATCGTCGGAAAGGTCGATCTCGCGAGGCATCTCGACGTGCCCATTGGTGGCAGCCGTCTCGGCCTCCTCAGCCTCAGGCTCCTTCACTGTCGGCGTCTCGAGCTTCTCGGGGACCTCTTCGGCAACCTCCTTCGAGCTCTCCTCAGCCGCCTTGTCCTTCACCTCGGCCTTGGCCTCAACCTCAGGCTCCTCGGGCTTTGGAATCTCGGGCTCGCCCTGCTTGGCCTCCATAGATGGCCGGGAGACAATTGAGAGGTCATCGTCATCCTCGTCAACGTCCTCAGGCATGTCGGCGGCGGAGCGGGAAACAGCGACGGTGGCGGCAGAGGCAGTGGCAGCTCCCGCAGCGCCGGCGAGCAAAGTCTGGGCCTTGCTCTTGGACAGCTTGTCCTCGAGCTCCTGAATACGGCGTTCCCGAGACTCGAGCTCCTCCAGGAGCAGGTTGACGTCCTGCTGGTTGTCGACCATGGCCATGCGAGACTCGAGGTCGCGAACGGTGGACTCGCGCTCCTCGGCCTCACGCTCGTATCGTTCAACGAGGTCCGCAAGCTCCGTCGCGCGGTTGTCCGCCGTGGCGATGCGCTGCTCGAGTTGCGTGATGTACGTGTTGCTCTTAGCAGACTCGGCCTTGAGGTCCTGGATCTCCTTGCTGAGGCCGGCGATGACATCGGTCTGGCGATCGTCGTTGTCGGTAAAGTTGCGGAACTTTTGCTCGAGGTCGCGAATGTACGCTTCGGACGACTCGTTGCGGGCAGTGAGCTTCGTGAGACGACCCTGAAGCTCGGTAACATAACTCTCGTGCTCCGAAAGTCGCTCTTGCGTCTTGATCAAGTCATGTGCCTGCTCTTCGTGCGACTGCTCACGGGCGGCAGCCTCAGCACGGAGCATCGCAAGCTGATTGTTGAGCGAGGTGACGACCTTTTCGTACCTGGTGGGGACGTCAGCACTGCCCTGCATGCGGGACGCATCGGCTGGTGGCCCGTTGGTTGTCAAGCAACCAACAGCCAAGGTGTACTCACTCCAAAACGACCGGCTCGATCGTCTCGTTGAACTGCCTAAGCTTGTCGTCCTCCAGCGCGTCCGGATCGCTGAGCGCGACGATCTCCCGACACTTTTCAAAGTACTGGTCTTGTAACTGTGAATGAGTCAGCAAAAGTTGGGGACCAGAAAGATCTCGTGGTACAGCCTTGTAACAAGGCAGCGCCAGGGACGGAAATCAGGATGAGCGATGTACCGCAAGATCGGCCTCTGCCGTCCCTGTCCGCCAGCCCCTAACTCTAAAACTTACGTGGCTGAAGTCGTCCTCCAGATCGGCGAGCTTGTCGGTGAGCTCCATGACTTGACGGGCGAGCGCCTCCTCATCGACTGAAGACTCAAATCGACCGGCACTTCGCACCGCAGCCCCAGGGTTAGCCTCCAGGGTTGAGATCTTGGTCCGGAGTTTGAGCACCGTGTTACGGAGGTAGTCGATGTCGTCCCAGCCCACCTCGGACTGATTCTTGCTGACCGAGTTCTTGATCCTACGCGCGCGCGACGCATAGTTGATCGTGTTGATGGTTTCCGAGATGTTGTACTCGAGAGGCGAGATACAGGCGATCATCGTGGTCATTGCATTTCCGCCGATCGAGTCTGCGATGTCAGCACATGCCGATCCGTTGCTCCGCCCTATTCCAAGGTGCCCCTGCCCGAAGAAGCGGAGCCAGGGCGTTGCAACTCCACCTCTCGACAGGGGCAGACCCGTTTCAAACTCACCTTGCAGCAATCTCGTCAGTTTAGAGTCACGGTACGGAACGTGTCCGCGGTTCTTGGCGGGTTCGGCAACTGCGATGGGGTGTCAGTTACAGTTCTGGGAAACATTACGGGGGCCACGTACGAGCAGAAATGACGTTTCCGAGGGCAAGCAGACCACTGTTGATCGAGATACCCTCCTTCATGCGCTCGGCTTGGGCGCCCGTTCGCTTGAGGCGCTCGGAACCAGCAAGATCGACGAGGTTGAACTTGCTGGTCACGACAACAAGCTCATCCTCGCTGTGAGGCGCCGGGGCGCCCCCGCCCGTGTACATGCTAGATGGGCGCATGAGCTTGCTGTAGCTCGAAGGAGGCTGGGCACGGGTGAAGACCGGCGTCGTAGACCGGGACCCGTTACCTCCGGCAACAGACATCGGCCGCCTTGACGGCGTCATCCGTCCGCTGGGAGCGTCGCTGTTGCCACTGTCTGCCCGGCGGGTCTGAATGAGCGTCAGAGCAAAGATGGCGTGCGAACGCGACGAGGTCTGGTTCATGTTGGTCTCGCCGGTCCTTCGGCGGAGCGATCCCTCGCTAAGGAGCTGCATGACCTCAGACACGTTGGCGACCTTGATCTCGCGAACGCCGGACCACACGATGCGGCCGTCCTGGTTCTCGCGGATCGAGACGGGCATGTTCGTGTTGCTCAGCAGGTCGATGAGGTCCTCATTGTACAGCTCCAGGAAGGAGACGCGGCACTCCCAGCTGGCGCCAGGACCAGACTGCAAGCGGATCTCCTCTGCTCGGCGGAAGACCTGCTCGACGGTGCGGGGAATCAGACCAGCTCGCGAGTGGTCCGACAGGTCGAGGTAGTCCTCTTCGTCTCCAGTCGTTCCATCGAGTACGACTTTCCAGAACTCGTCTGGCCGTACGCGAGGAACGTGACGTTGAAACCGCGAAGGAACTCTTCAATCCTCTCGCGCGCCGTGACATTGTAGAGATCAATCTGGGACGCCTGCTCGCCGAGAACGCGGTCGAAGGTGAACGTCGGGTGCCTTTTGCTGGTGGACGCGACCGACGCAGAACCCGCCAGCGTCGCAGGGTCGACGCTCACTCGGACTTCGGTCGACGACGTCGGGTGAACCAGCACGGACCGATGACGAGACGGAATATTAGGGTCCTCGGGCTCAGATGGGCGGATACGGAGTACTGGTTAGAGTTAGTAAAATTGGACCATGCTTGCAGTGTGAGAGAAGGAGGCGACACCATCCGGCTACGCGCACGCGCCAATGGATAGAACTCCCACTACATGGAGGTGTTGGCCCGTGCTGACGCCGCGAACGCCTTCTTGCCTGGCGACGACGTTGCCGGGGGACGACGCGCCGTGCAGCCGCCTACGAGCACGGTGGCATGTCGTAGTTGTTGCGACACGCCCGCGGATTCTCAGATCTGTACTCACCTACGCGCACCTGCCCCTTGTCCGCGTTGTCCTCGGCTGTCGGTGATGAGCTCCTGTTGCTGCTGGAGGGGACCGAGGGTATCGGGTCGCTCGGCGGCGGTCCGTAGCTGCGGTAGCGGCCAGAGGCGGACTGAGGCCGCGGCAGCTGGGAGTGTGGTGACTGGGGAGTGGGTGATCCCACGAGGGACGCGCGCCGGCGCGCCGGCGAGGGAATGGCGGACATTGCTGCCATGAGATCTGGGGCGGGTCACTCAAAACGTCGCGACTACCGACGTGTCGAAAGCGATCCAGCACAGGTGCTAGGTCGGCTGGCTGTGATCAGGCGACGGACCGTGTCGAGCCGAAGACCCTTGCGGTGGGCAAGAGGCGTGTACCGTGTCGGAGTCGACAGGGGGCGACGGGCTGCAGGGTCGAAAGGAGGGGGAGGGAAGGGCCAAGTGTCGAGATCTTGGCCTCGGACTTGGGCGTTGCCGAGTGATCGATCAGTCGTGCAGGCCAGTCGTGCCGTTGCCCTCGATGAAAAGAGAATGCCGGGTGGCGAGTAGGTCTCGACCGGGCAGTGAGTCTGGAAGCGATGTCGTTACGGTGTCAAAGCAAAGACAATGTTCGTGGGTGGACGAGTGAGTAGTCGGGCAAGCGGTGTTGAATGTGAAAGTGGGAGGAAGGGTGTGAGGGTAGTCGTGCGTGATGCGTGATTGCGTGTGGAAATTGAGGGGGATTTGTGTGTGTACGTGTATTGTGTGGACGGTGTCGATCGAATACTTTGGGTGCTCGGGTTGCGCAGTGTACAACGGAACGGGGCGGCGGGGAAGGTGGGGAGAGAAGAGGTAACTGATGGCGAGCCAAGGTCGATGGACAGCGAGGAAGGGGGGTGAAGGTGACTGGTGACTTGTCGAGATGAGAAAGAGAGGGATGGGACGGCGGTGGTGGATGGGGGCCTGCTGGCGAGGAAGACGCGGGCGGACGGGTGGACGGGTGGACGGGGTGAAGGGGTGGACGGGTCGCCTGGCGAGGGGTGAATGAGTGATCAGCTCGTAATGGATGGTAATGATCGGAAAGTGGTTGCAAAGCGATGGGTAATGGGCTGATAATGGCTGTCTATAGCGCTTGCATTAGGAGAGCTGCGAAGGGGGAAGGAAGGGCGGTGTCGATCGAATACTTTGGGTGCTCGGGTTGCGCAGTGTACAACGGAACGGGGCGGCGGGGAAGGTGGGGAGAGAAGAGGTAACTGATGGCGAGCCAAGGTCGATGGACAGCGAGGAAGGGGGGTGAAGGTGACTGGTGACTTGTCGAGATGAGAAAGAGAGGGATGGGACGGCGGTGGTGGATGGGGGCCTGCTGGCGAGGAAGACGCGGGCGGACGGGTGGACGGGTGGACGGGGTGAAGGGGTGGACGGGTCGCCTGGCGAGGGGTGAATGAGTGATCAGCTCGTAATGGATGGTAATGATCGGAAAGTGGTTGCAAAGCGATGGGTAATGGGCTGATAATGGCTGTCTATAGCGCTTGCATTAGGAGAGCTGCGAAGGGGGAAGGAAGGGCGTGAGGCGCGCGATGGAGACAGGGTGGTGGCTAGGGGCACCCTGGGTGTGGGTGGCCGGGGTGAGGGGGGTCCGGTCAGGATCAGCATCTCGCCAGCCCGGCCAGCCCAGAGCCAGGTCGTACCAGGTAGCGAGGTGCGTGCATGCGTGCGACCGTACGGTACTAGGCCAGGCAGCAGCAGCAGGAACAAGGGGCAGGACGAAAGCGAGCGAGCCAAGGACAGAACCAGCTACTGGCAGAGCGAGGCACGCACCCAAGGCACACGCTCGCAAGTCCTGCGATGCCTAGGAACGACCATCGCTGGGCAGAAAGCGGGCGAACGTTGCTGCGTGCCGGGGGGGCGCTGCTCCCGAGGCATGCCATGCCAGCCAGAGTAGCCATGCAGCCAGACACGACTTTCAGGAGACCCAGGGTCAACCCACGACAGGGTACTCAGGGAAGTCGAGCCCGAAAGGCAAGGGCCGAGAGGCGTGCCAGGCGTGCCAGTTGCCGCAGACCATGCGCGCCCCAGCTATGCCAGACACTGCAGCATGAGAGGAACGCCCGTACGCCCAACCAAGAGGCTGCGCGGGGGACGTGGTCCGAGCGCTGTCTTCAGGATTAAATGTCGCAAGTGTGCGTCCCCAGGATGGTCCAGGGCAAACGGCAGGCCAACCCCTTTGGCAGCTTTACGCGTTTCCTAATCGCTTGTTAATCGACCTATAACATGGCCAGCATGGCCAGATTGAGAGTCCTTAATCCAGCGTATCAGAGCATTCACTGAGCGATGGCAGCATGTGCTGCCAGCTGCTGCAGACTGTAGACCAGCGATGAGTCCAAATACGGCACCCAGCCCAAGGCTGCAGGGCTCCCTGGCACCCCATCGTCGCGGGTTCCTAGCCCGGGGGGTGAAAAAGGGGCTCGAATGGGCGCCAGCCCTGCCAGCCCTGGCCCAACTGACACCCGAGACAGCGTCCCCCATCGTCCTCTCCCTTCTGCGCCCCTCGGGTCTCTTGCTGCCTGCTGCGCTTACTACGGCAGCGCTCATCGACGATTCGACCAGCGTTCCAGTTCGAAGATCGAGAAGACGAGGGCCACATGGCAACCACTCGACCTCTCCCGGCGCCCTGCCCCGGTTGGCCCGGGTGACCCAATCCCTTCTGGCCCTGTCCGGGATCCGTAGATGAGTATTAAGTATTTGCTTTCTATCAATTCACGGTCCTTTGAGAGTTACCACAGATTCCATGCTCCATCGGGCCACTGGAGAGCCAGCGAGCCAGCCAGCAGCGATGCGCGACCCGCGGCTGCGCATCAGTGGCTTCCTGCTTCCCTACGGCTACGCAAGGCTTCAAGGACATTGCAGTTGATTAACCGCAGCCACAAATGATGACTGACATTGGAGAGCTGTCCGTTTGCCTGAGACAGATCTGGACCGACAAACTGCGTCCCGTCTCTTCTCCTTGCGCCATTGCGCAGCACACGGTACAAACAAACACACCTGCTTGCTGGCTGTTGGCTGGTCGCTGGCTGGCTGTTGGTTGGGCTGGCCGGAGTGCACTTGGTCGTCGGCTGGCAAGTTGGCAGCAGGCACTCGAGGAACTCTTAGGCACTGGAGGAACTGCACCAACTTGAGGCACAGTGCTGGGCGGCGAAGCAGGCGCAGATCAAGAGAGCCCAAAGCCCAACAGAGCCCAGCAGAGACCCACTTTTCTCGCTGGCAGCGCAAACGTAAGAATGACAGCATTCAAGCATGCTTTGGCTCGTAACGTTATACTGCCCAGGGAAGCCGAGGGAAGCCGAGCATGCGAGCATGCAAGCAGGCAGACAGGTCCGCAAGGTGTCGTAGGGCCGACTGATTATCGCCGCTGGCCCAGTCGGCTCAACCAACCGGTCCTGGCTGGTCCTGAGGAGAGAACCCGGGGGTGCCGGCGTGCAACATGCTGAGAAGCAACCACGACCCACGAGGCTACGAGCACAAGCATGCAGGCGGTTCCCTGCGTTCCTCTGTTCCTGTCTTCGCTTCCAAGTCTTGCGTACGGTTGCGTACGTTCGCGTACATCCTTGCGTAAACACGACCCGTGAACACAGCACGAGCTTGCTCTTATTTACGACAACGGAAAGCCCGGAGGTACGGGGGTGTGTGGGTGCTGTAAACAAAGGCTTGTCTGGGGTGCTGCTCGGCGCCGTCTCGTCTCATGTCGGCCTTAAGGGCGGCCTCAGTGCCCGCCGCCTCATACTGCGACCAGCGTTCAGCTCGAAGCGAGAAGGGCGAAGGACGAAACGAGCATCGTTCCGGACTCGCGAAGCACTTTTCACCCCGCAGTGCCACTGCACGGAGCGGTCGCGCAAGGGAGCCTTTGCCCCGGACTTTCGAGGGGAGGAAGGAAGGAAGGGGAAGCGATCCGAGGTGCCGGACGTCCGAACGTCCGGACTCTCGAAAGCAAAACCTCTAAACTCTAAATCTACGAGTTCCAGAACTTCTCCACCCCCGCTGGCGATCCTGGCCCTTCTGGCCATACCTGTGCACCTGCCTGTGCACCTACTTGTGCACCTGTGCGCCTGCCTCGCCTGCCTCTGCTATCTGTGATGCGGCGTGGGACATGATTCGGCGACGCGGGCTGCGCGGAGGTAGCTTCCGACTCGGCTTCGAGCCACAGCCCTGCGGCTCACAGTACCTGTCCGACGCCCGACGCAGACGGAACCAGGCTTGAGCCAATGTTGCGCCGAATTGTTTCTTGCTGCTTTAGGACACACTCGTCGGCAGCAGACAGTCGCAGTGGGTCTACCTCACCACAGGAGTCGGGTTAAGGTTTCCGCGCAGAACGCGAACACGGACGCGTCTGGCTTTCCGAGATGCTCTGGCGTCACTTGCCAAACAACACTTTGCTGGATCGCGTCTCGTCACCGCAGTGTACTGCAGTGCCACCAAGCACTCGCTGAAGCGAGGTGGTCGTTTTGAATGGACAACTCGAAACAGGCCACTCGGGCGATACATGACTGCGGACCAGTCACGTCTCGCCGTCGCTGCAGTGGTAACGTAAGTCTGCAATCACGCTAGCCGCCTTTGTTTTCCTGTTACAGCAGACCTACGCGCCAGTTCTGCGCCAACGTAGACCATGGGACATGATACGCCCAACCAGGATGCTGTCAGATGCGGACAGAGGTACAGAGGGGCGAGGGGATGCGATTCGGACGCCCGAATCCAGGAAGTCCAACGTCGCATCAGACGTCCGACGGGCCCTGAACCGCCCGTCGGTTGAGACGACAGGGTGGGAGCCCGGCGCTTCTGACATGTTTCAAGCGACAGGACCCCCTGTCTCTTGCCCTTCGTGGACAGCTTGAGCTGGACGATGCGTGCAGCAGGGTGATGGTGACAGATTACGGAGGGGTGGTTACGCAACTTTTTTCAATGCTGCTGCACGATCGAGAGCTTAGCTGAGCCTTGCTAAGCACTGTTCTCGGTGTGTTTCGTAACGGTTCCGGCGCCTCGACCTGACGTTGAGAATTAGGGGACCGAGACGCGCGACGTACACTCCGAACGCGCGACGGGCAGACAGTGACAGTGGTAGGTTCACTGGAACCAGCCCGTAAGTCGCCGTAGGTGGCCGCCGGTTAGTCGCTGCAACACTCCTGATCAGGCAAGTGCCAACAGCTACGCGCGCTGGTCTGTGCGCCGACGCGTAACCCTTTGCTGTCACTTCTTAGCCCTGCAGGCATGCAGGTGGCCGCCGGGCATGCCGGACAACATGCATAACGCTCTTTCTTTTCCCCAACGCTTTCATGCAAGTTTGCAGTTCAGAGCGAGTTGCGAGTTGTGGGTGAGGCACAGTGAAATCCCTCGACTGGCTGTCAGACGGACTGCCAGGCCGGCAGACGTCGCGGAACAAGTATTGAGGCGCCGAAACAAACGACCCGCGATTACTTCGGAACGGACAGGAACGAGCCGGAACGAGTCTGCTCCTGTGTCTCTCCTGCGCGCCGAGAGGCAACACAGGCCACTGATGAGGTAAGGCGTGAGTCAAGGTGTTTATGCTTGTTTGTGTCGCGATGCTTCTCGTCAGCGCGTCAGTACGTCTTACGATTAGTTGTCTCACCATTAGCCCTCCGGTCGCCAACGCACACCACTGTGTGGCTGTTCCGAGAAACTCTCAGAGGCGGATTGTGGGTATCGACCCCGCCACAATGCAGTGAGACAGCGATTTGTGCCTCGATTCCGGGCGCAGACCACCGCCAAATTTGGGTTCACCTGCTCCGTGTCTCATATCGTACACGCCTCGGTGCATAAGTCTCAGCTCTTCACTTCCAGCGTCCCGTCCTACTGGCGGGGACGCCGAGCTTGAGCCGGAGCAGCAGCTCTTGCAGCTCAGCGCTGCCTGGCGTCTTTGAGTTGTCCTCAACCTCGCCTTCGAGCAGGAGTTGGAGGTCCTGCTCCGCATCTGCCTCCGTCTTTGCCTTGTGCTCCTTATCAGTCGAGGCACGGTCCGTGTGTCCGGGTGTGCGCAGCGAGAGACGCTCAAGCGCATGGAACTGGTTGTTAGCTCTGCTGAAGCAAGCTTCTTAAGCTCAGCACAATGGTACGGGCTGCTTTACACTTTCCGGCACATTTGGCAAAGTTTGGCAGATAAGGGACGCTCCTCGTTCATGTTCAATTGAACATGAGGGCTCCACGCCAACTTTGCCAACTCGTGCAGCTGGCCCGATCCCGGTCCAAATGATCGCCCTCAAACTCTATGTACTCACGAAGACGGCAAACTTGTCGTTCCACTCCAGCCGGATGGCCAGAACGTGCTGGGCACCCTTTTCAACGTCTCCACTCCGCTCGGTCTCCTTCACGGTCCTGCTCAGGTCCAGGATGAGAGACAGCAGCGACATGAGGATCTTGAACGTGATTTGGTGGCCGGGCTGCGGCGACAGGAGGCACGCCCTCAGGATCCGGTTCATAATGACATGGTGGTAGAGGACGAGCGAGTGCGCAGACTGCAGCTGCGACAGGGTGCCCAGCTGCGTCTTGTCCTCCTCGTCGCCCTCAACGTCAAACACCTCGCCATCGAGGTCCTCGAACTCATCGTCGTCCGCAGGCGTCATGGGTCGACTCTCAGTGTGCACGTTCAGATGCGCGCGTTTGCGCAGCTTGTCCAGGCGGCGCCGCATGACCTCCCAGTTCTGCCGAATGGCAGTGTCCAGGATATAGCGCGTGATGGCAGTGACAAACCAGCTCATGCAGAAGCGGAGGTGACGGAGAGCGACGTCCGCCTCGCCTTCAAACAGGGACTGGTCCTTGCGACGAGGTGCAGTCAGGTGCGCGTTGCGCTTGTGAAGGTCAACTCCTTCCTTAGAGGACTTGCCGTCGCCAAACTTCATGACGTCGTAGAACAGCGAGCTCAGCACCGTCTCGGCCCGCTGCAGTCGCAGAAGCAGGTTGTGCACGCTTTGGTACTTCTCCATGATACTCGGCGGGAGGAGAGTCGAGATAACCGGTGGTGGAGAGTAGGACAGGTACAGGAAGTCGAGCGCTTCGATGGCTGTGCGTCAGTTCTGTCAACAAGCGAGATAACTCACATGTCGGATCTAACCACTTGGCTCTGCGTCCGTCGTTCTCCTCGGGCAAGGCACGAATTGCGAAGCTCACGAGGTCTTCGACGTTCCAGCCATTCTCATTGGGCTGCTCCTCGTCGAGAAGTGTCGTGCGAAGCGCGTACGCCAGCTCGCCGCCTCCCGGTGGCCAGCGACGGCGGTCGCTCAGGCCCAAGCCCAAACCAATACCCATGTCCTCCTCTGTCTCCAGTCCACGCTTGCCCCGGTTCCGCTCCCGGTGGCTGAGCAAGCCGCTCGATCCACCGCTAGGCGTGAACAGCGCTGTACCCACGCGCTCCACGAAGCCTGCGTTGCCGCCCAGCCAGTACTCCTGCAACATGTCTAGGTGGCTCAGGAACGAGAGGTCGTCGAGGTAGAGCGAGATGAGTGCCTGGGAGATGAGCTGGGCGTGCGTCAGAAGCGGAGACAGCAGCTGCGAGCTGATGTACAGCTCAAGCGTGGGCGAGTCACCTAGAAGGGGCTCGTCGGTGTGGAACGCGACAAAGTTCTCAATGTCGTCGAGAGGCGCGGCCTTCCACAGCTGAGGAAGGTGCGAACCGGGAGGCTCGCACAGGGTCGCCCAGAAATCGACCGGCTCGGAAGGTGAGGTCGATGAGCAAGGTGAACCCGGGCGGGACCGCCATCTGGAGCCAGCAGAGGACATGGAGATCGTTCGCGAGCGCGTGCCGCGCCACTTGTCAACCTCGCGTTGCACCCGCCTCGAATGCTGTCTCACGTCACATTGCCTGGAACTCAGTTTTCGCGCCTATTTCTCTAACTTACGCGTCAGCGCCCCATCCCCAGTTCGCTCTAAGCGACCAGTCGTTGCACAAAGGATGAGCACCGTTGGTCGCCTCATGCAGGGCCCTCAGCGAGCAGCCAGCGTCGAACAGCGTCCTGCGGATCGTGCGAGGAATGAAGGACGGCATGCGACGTGCCGTGAACGAGTACTCCCACCGGCCTTCGATGCGCTCCCTCGTGATACCGAGGTCAAGCCACGGCTGCGACTCGTCGTCGACCTCGGGACACGGCGCGAGGCCGAGCCACTGGTGCAGTAGATCCAGGAACGGCTCCGAAGAGCGCGACAGAATGTACGCGAGCGAGAGGACGAGGTTTGACTGCGACGACGAGGTCGTCATCCAAGCAACGAGGTGCGAGTGCAGATGGGACAAAAGCGAGGAAGGCCGCGCTGGCAGACCCACGGGACGTTTCTGGTCCAACGGCCAGCACATCACCTCGCACCAGGCTGTGACGAGCTCCCTCGCGTCGCGGAGACCCATCTCGCGCCGCAGCCAGGGAGCCATTTTCGGGTCGTAGTTGACCTCCTGCATCTTGGCCATGACATTGCGGACGCCCTCGGCGAGACGCTCCTTGACGTACGTCAGGACGGTCGAAAGAGAGTGCAGAAGCGCGTGGTGTGTGGGGGTGATCGGCCTAGACGTCAGCTCGGTGAACATCACAGCAGCTTTACGTAGCGTTGTGCTCCTCGATGATGATCTCTAGGCGCCTGACCCCCGTTCCAATGTCGAGGAACCCCTTCACCAGGCTGTGACGGTCAGCTTCCGTTATCAAAATCGTAGCCCACTTAGCTGATGTAACCCTCTCGACGCCTATGACCCTCCCGTCAGCATACACGAACCGGCCCTCGCGCCGGCTCCACCTCAGCGAGTCGTTCATAGCCGTCCCCAGTGTCGCGCGGAGCATGAGTTCGAGCAGCCTGAACGACGAGATGGGCGGGTTTGACGCAGGCGTCTGCAACCGCGGGAGGCTCAACGGCGGCGCCGAAAGCGTGATCAGCGGATCAAAGTACTGCGGCTTCTCAGATAGGAACGGCGTATCCGAGGAAGACGGCGTCCATGTCAGAGGCTGGGCATGTCAGCTATCTGCAGATACTTCGAAGCTCACCTCAACTCGTGACGGGCCAGCGAACGCCGCTTGAGCCCAGAGTTCCTGCTCGGTCGCGGGCTTGGCCTCGTCTTCCTTTGGGCCTTCCTCCTCCGCGGCCGCCGATGCTTCGTCGCCCAGGGTGTTCATAACGGCGAGTACATCTTCATCGTCTCTAACGTCTTCCTTTGATCGAGAATCGAACGGCGCTTCGTGAGCTGCCGCAACCATGAGGTTCTCTCTCAGCGAGCCCAGCAGCCGCTCCACACCTGGCGCATGCTCGTCCAGCGGCGGGAGCGTGAACCTGCGCCTTGCTCGGGCTAAGTTGGGGCAAGCTCGGCGGTGCGCCCTTCAGCGGCGAGAGGTTGAACAGCGACATATCGCGCGCAACTCGCTGCCGATACTGTCGTCAGCTGTCTGCATGCCAGCTCAGCTCACTGGTTCCCGTGCTTGTTGGAATGCGGGGAAGACGAGTTTGGACGCGTCCATATCGCTCGAGAGCACTGACGTTGATGCGCAACAACAACATCACGTGACGTCCACGTGGCGACTCATTGGCCACCCAAGGCAATTTCTGACGTCGATCAAGATTTCAGGTCACCCTGCCCCCTTAGCATCTGGAGGGTTCTGCTCGACTTTCACACATACACATCTATTCACCATGTCGCGCCCGGAAGAGCTTGCCCCGCCCGAGATTTGGTATGGAGACGATGAGGCGCAGAAGTACACTGGAAAGTGAGTTTGGGGTTGGGCACACACCTCCTAGCAGCTATTGTGCTGCTTCCGGGGGAGCTGGCATACTGTTGAAGAGGAGCAAGCTGACGGACAGCACGCGTGTGCAGAAGATTCAGGCGGAGATGACGGATCGTGCTCTTGAGCTGCTGCAGCTTCCGCCAGGCGAGAGCGCGTTCATCCTCGACATTGGTTGCGGCTCTGGTCTCAGTGGAGAGCTGCTTGACGAGGACGGACATGTCTGGGTCGGCGTCGACATTGCCCCGAGCATGCTCGGTGAGTTCAGCTTCTTGTCTTTCGAGCTAGCCAAACTGACAAGGCAGAGGTCGCTCTTGAGCGGGAAGTGAACGGCGACCTGTTTCTGCAGGACATTGGCCAGGGCTTCGGCTTCCGCCCCGGAACGTTTGACGGCGCGATCTCAATTTCGGTGCTGCAGTGGCTCCTGAATGCGGACTCCTCGTCGCATTCACCCCCGCAGCGCCTGACGCGCTTCTTCACAACGCTGCACTCGGCGCTCAAGAACCCGTCCCGCGCCGTGTTCCAATTCTACCCCTCTAGCGACGATCAGGTGCAGCTCATCACGAGCTGTGCGCAGAAGGCCGGTTTCGGCGGTGGTCTCGTCGTCGACTATCCCAACTCGAAGAAGGCGAGGAAGATGTACCTCTGCCTCATGGTTGGACAGCAGGAGATCCCGAAGGGTCTCGAGGAGGAGCACGAGGCGAGCGCGCACGACAAGCGCGAGGAGATCAAGATGGAGCGCAGGCGGAGACGGGAAAAGATCTCCAAGAAGAAGCAGTCAAACAAGAACCTCACTGGCAAGGAGTGGATCCTCAAGAAGAAGGAGCTCTACAGGACCCGTGGAAAGGAGGGAGTCCCGCGAGACTCAAAGTACACGGCACGCAAGCGTCGCGTGCAGTTCTAAGCTTCATGTTCGTCTTATCAACCTTGTACACATAGAACCCTTCGTGACCGTGATGACATGCATTGTTAACCATTATCAGACTACTGACGCTGCTGTGAGCAAGACGGCTGGGCACAGGCAGGCTCCGCGCAGCTAGCACGTGCCGTGTCCACAACAATGAGCCAGTATGCCCCCCGGTAAGCACAGTTAGGGTTGCGGGGATCCACTCACCTGCTCGTTGCACCTACCTCAAGATCAGCAGGAGCCTTACCCCTGCGCAGCTTGCTAAGGCACCGTCGCACAGATCGGCCGACAATCTGTGTCTGGAACGGTCATCAGTCGCTCACCCACCTTGCTGCTCGCCGGCGACTACGAAAAGGCAGGGATCACCGGTCCAATCCCTTCACACCCTTCAGCACAGACCGAGAGAAAGGTTCGCAACCAATGTCGGAGCTTGCGTGCCTAATCTTGGGAGGACGGCGTCGCGCGCACTCTTGAGTATGAACGAAGGGCTTGTGCTTTCTTCATGTTGCTTGCTTCAGTGTTTGCTGCTTGCTTCCATCCAACTACTTGATCAAATCACATCGAGAGAAGGCTTGAGGGCTTGGCCCAACGTTGCGGTAGATATGGCACACAGAATTCACTCCAGAGGCAGTCATCTTGCTGTCGCGCTTTGCTTGTTGTTGCTTGTATTGAGTTGAAGGAGGGAGGGCTTGCAGGAGTTGAGAGGGAATTATTACTGGAAGATAGGCCAGATGCTAGGCCGTGCGGGAGGTGCTCTTGCAGAGGCACAGACGCCCGCATACGTTTAGTACTGGTCACGGGACTCCTCCTGGGCAGGAGGACGGCGGTCAGGAGAGGCAGACTGCCTGAAGGCCCTGGGAGAGGGCGTGCGACGACGGTCGTCGCGGTCTCCACGAGGCTCGCGGCCGCTGAAGCCACGCTCACCATCGTCGCGACGAGCACGACCAGCGTAAGGGTCGTCACGGTCGCCACCGTCGCGGCCACCACGCGGGCCCCAGCCTCCCTCCTCGCGGTCGCCTCCACGCTCGGGACGCTCGGGGCGGTCGCCGTAGCGGTCGCCTCCACGCGGGCCCCAGCGGTCACCGCCACCGAAGCGGTCCCCAACGGCGGTCGCGGTCGCGGGGGTCGTAGCGGTCGCCGTAACGGTCGCCTCCACCGAAGCCCCTGCGGGGCGCAAAGCGGTCGTCGAAAGGACGCTTCTCACCGCGGTACTCTCCGGGAGTGGGAGCATGGGCCTTGTTGGTAGCCGAATAGTCGACACGGATGGCACGGCCGTGGAGAACAATGCCGTTGAGCTTCTCGATGCAGCGAGTGGCGTCCTCAGTCGAGCGCATGGTGATGAAGCCGAATCCACGCGAGCGGTCGGTCTACTGTGTCAGCACGGGCAGCCCAGGGAGGTCAAAACTCACACGCTGGTCGTAGACAATCACGACCTTCTCGACGTCACCAAAGCGCGAGAACTCGTCCTCGAGGTCACGCTCGCGAGTGCGGATCGACAGACCAAAGACACCGAGAACCGGGTTGGCGTCGACACGGGGAGCGTTGGGGGGACGAGAAGGGGCCGCAGCAGGACCACCCATTTCCCTGCGAGGTAAGTAGGAGCGACGAGGCGAACGAGGAGCAGGGGAAGAGCGGTAGGAGTGATGAGGAGAGCCACAAGACGACGTGGGGGAAGGCGAATAGTGGTCGCCACCCCCGCGCAGCTTGTGTTGAGAACGGGACGGGCCCGAGCTGCGGCGGGGGCTGTAAGGATGGTAGCGGTCGGATTGCTCCCATGGCGAACTCGACGCTATAGGGGACGCCAAGGGTGGCGAAGGTGACGACCACGAGCTACGCATGGTGGTGATGGATGATGAGGAAGACACAGAAGTGTGTGTTGAGCAGTCCAGATGCGCTATCCACCCAGGACGGGGTCGATGGGATTCGAGCTAGCTCGGGCGCACATGTGAAACAGCCTTTGGCGTGGGATGATGCACTTACCTGCGGTCCATGCGGTCGTCAGGCCGTCCTCCGCGAGGGTCGCGATCGTCACGGGGGTCGCGATCGTCGCGACGGTCGCGCATGTCGTCACGGGGCTCGCGGGAGTCGCGCATGTCGACGTCCTGGGCAGCACCGCGCTGCTCATACCGATCGCCAGCAGGAGGGGGCGAGCGAGGGGCCCAGGTCTCACGGGAAACGGGAGCGTCGGCGTCCTGCTGCGTCAGCAAGGTGTGGTCTCTTTGCCTGCCCTTGTCGCTTCGAACTCACCATGATCAGCTGATAAGGGGTATGAACAGTTGACACGGATTACAAGAGACGAGAGCAACGTTCGGCAGCGTCTCACAACAATGATGTATGTGGTATGGAAATCCATCGTTCAGGAACGGAATGGAATATTGCCACTGGAGTTTTTGGCATTTTATCCCGTTTCAACCCCTTGATATCAGCCCGCTAGGTCCCTTATCAGCTGGAATCATCGTGCCTCCAATCGTTGCGATCGCGGCCAAGATCCCGACAGCGACGATGCTTGCACCTATCGAGACAGATACCTGACCGTTCCGCCGCTATGTTCGAGCGCCATATGCACGCAGGACCGCCACTTGATCACTTGGCCGGCCGAAGAGGAATGTGCCGATGTGCAAGGAGCAGATGTGTCTGTGGCTCGTGCAACGGCCCCGGCCGCCCCGTTGTGAGCTTAAGGGCGCTTCCTCCAGCTGTGCGATCGCAATGTCGGCTCGACTTGGAGTCAGCGGGCGTGTGTGCCTGGGTGGAAGGGAAACACTGTGTGCGCAGTGTTATTTGTTGTACGTGATGTATGTGCTCCTCTGTGCCCAAGGTTAGGCAGTTTAGCACTAGCGGCCGGTGACCGGTACGTACATCGCGAACGTGCTCCTCCTTCTTGAACGACCGCATGCGACGCTATCTGTGCTTGGTATGCAGAACGAGATGTGACCGACTCGGAGCGGGGACCGGTTTGCAGGGCATCGCCCGCAGGGAGAGCATTAACGCTCCGAGTTACGCCCCGAACGCCCATGTGTCCTGACCAAGGGAATTGCGGACGGAGCGATGGACGCATCGTTCATTCAAGACTGCAATGCCGTGCTGTCGCCATTCAAATGTCGGCGCACAACGGACTCCAACCCGTGGGCTCGTGGCAGAGGCCACAGGAACTGCGGTTTGAGACACAAGCTACGCATCGAAGGTACGGCTGATGGCGTGCCGCGGCGTCTCATTGCGTCCAATTCCCAGCCGGCACCGGCACTGATCGAAATGCTCCAAATGGGCCGCCGGAGATGGCCTTGGTATCGGCCCAACCCTTCGGGTCCCTGTCCATGGCCGTGAACGAGATATTCAAGGACTCGGGATGCTGACAGACGCGCAATGCTCCGCATGAGATGAACGTACTTCGAGACGTAAGCTGCTCGCACTCGCGCAACGGACTGCGTAAGCATGGTGCGTTAGCGATCCTCGGACTCAGGACGCCCATCGCACCTGTCCTGACCAAGTTAATGAACTGAAGATCCTCAGCGGACGGACCACATGGCGCCGCCAGTCGCCCTGCAATGTGCCACCTGGTCAGGCTCCTCGTTTGAAGTCGAGGCCAGACGTTGAAATGAATGTCACAGTACCTCTTGTCCCCACGGATAATGGATTTTGCAGTTCCACAAATCGCTCTACACCCGCAGCAGGGTGTGCGACAGCAATCTGCAGCGGCAGATGCAAAGTGAATGTCGCCGGACACCAAAGTCAAAATAAGTTCCGGGCGCGTCGCCGGGAGTGATCGACAACGCGTCGCGAAATCGCGGGTGAGGTCCAATCGCAGCCGGATGTGCCGGTTCGGTGACGACAAGTTTTAGGGTTTCCAAGGCTCGAAAAAATCGAGGCCAGTGCATGCGCATTCCCCCTCGATTCCTATCGCCCCTCACGACGCAGCACGGCAGACAATGGAACAGGCGGGTGGTGGTGCAGTAAACAAAGAATTGCTCGCACCAGGCATGAGCTTGGCCGAGTCCGTTTCCGTCGATCCTCTGACGCATGCGATGGTGATCGTGCGGTCAGGAATGGGACATACCGGAGGGCGGGGCGGCATGGCGGGCCTGACGGAGGGCAGGGAGGGCCTATGGGCTTTCGCACAGCGTATCTTGGCAAAGACAAGAGGCAGGTTGAGCAGGCTGGAGTGGATTGTCCATCAAGGCGGGGAGGTGTGCTCGCACGTCCCACCAGCATGGCCCATGGGCGTTGGTTGCACTGCAATTCAGGTCGGTCGAGGCAGGACGAGGCAAGACGAGGCAAGACGAGCCCAGGGAGTCAGGGGCGCCTGGCCAATTTCGTGACGGCCACTGGGAGAAACCTGTGTGCGTGAGCCAACCAGAGCATGCGGCAGAGGCGTCCGCAGTCGCGCATCGCTGGGCCTGGCGAGCTTGAATTGCTCGGGGCGCGTCGCGTCGCAGCCTAGTGACTGCTTTGTGCGCTACAGTCCTACACAGTGCGCCCCTCCCCCCCTCCGCCCGCGCCCGCTGCGCTCTCTCATCGCTGTGTCCTTGACCCATCGATCCTCACCCAAACCCTCGATTCCCTTCTCTTCCCAACCGCCAGTCGGCTCTGCTGGCTCAGGCCTGCTGCTCCCATGCTCCTCTCAACCACGACAGGGAGTCGAGAGCCTTGCGCCTAGGGTAAACCCGTGCCGTAGGGTGGCCAGGGTGGGTGCACACCGCTAACTGCAAATCGACCTTGGCTGCACTCGACCACCACCACCACCACCACCACCCAACTCTACCTGAGCACGCACCTGGACCACCACCATGCCATGTCCCCTGGCTCATGGCTCAGCCTGAGTGCCTTCCTCCCAAGCCCCTTCTCTCTCCCCTTCCTCTCCACTTGCCCCTCACAGCCCCCGTCTGCGTACAAAACCCCTCCAGCATCTCCCTTCCCCTTCTCTCTTTCCTCCATCTCACCTAGACTTCTCTCCTAAACCTCTTCTTTTTCCAACCTCTCCACCTCAAGCTCTCGCCTTCGTTCGAGTCCACACTCTCTTTACCACAATGCTCTACTCCGCTGTCATCTCTCTCCTCGCCGCCGTCGCCGTCGTCGCCCAGGACTGTGGTGCCACCGTCGCCACCCCCAACGGCCTCACCACTGTGCGTATCTGTGGTCCTTGTCTACAGTGAATTCGCAACTGACTCTTTTCCCAGTGCCAGCCCACTCTCCTCACCTGGACCGGTGGCCAGGCCCCTTACTACGTCTCGATCATTGAGGGCGGCAACCCCAACGGCAAGGCTTTCAAGACCTGGCCCGCTACCGAGGCCACTTCGCTTACCTGGAAGGTTGCTGAGGTTCCTGCTGGTCAGTCCATCACCGTCCAGGTCAAGGACGGCTCTGGTGCTGTCAAGTACTCTGCCGCTGTCTCTGTCGCCGACGGTGGCTCGGACTGCTCCGCCGAGGCCGACTCTGGTGCCTCTGCTGGCGGTGCCTCTTCCGGCGCCTCGGCCGTCGGCGGCTCGTCCCCCTCTGCCGCCGGCTCTGCCAACGCCGGTGCCGCCAACGCTGGTGTCTCGGCTTCGCCCTCTGCCTCTGCTGGCTCCGCCGGCAAGGCCTCCGACAAGGCCGCCGCCTCGGCCGACTCGACCGGCTCTGCTGCCACCAAGCCCTCTGCCGGTGCCGCTTCGGCCACCCCCTCGTCTGGTGCTGGTGCCAACGTCGGTAATAGCTCATGAACTCCTCCATCAGCCCTGCATCTACGTTAGCTCTGCCACACAGCTGTGTAGGTTCGCTCGAAGCGCACCGCCAATCTTTTCGGGGTCTCGGCTGGTCTCCTGCTCCTCGACGGTCACCTCCGGATCCTCATCCATCCACTTGAGGAAGCGCTTGACGTCGCGGAAGATTCGAACGAACCGTTTCGGTTCCGGTGGTTGGGATGCTATTGCGCAACTTGGAGAATCTGAGGCGCTCGGTGCGTGTCTTCAGAGCGACATCTTGAAGCTTCTTGCGGCCAGATTGGAAGGCGATTGAAGTGGGAAGCGCTTTACGGCGCTGAAAGCTCATTGTGAGGCACTGTGCAGAGAACGCTTTGTTGAACGACGGGAAAGTAACGAAGAGAGATGTTGGTCAGTGCTGTCAAGTACTCTGCCGCTGTCTCTGTCGCCGACGGTGGCTCGGACTGCTCCGCCGAGGCCGACTCTGGTGCCTCTGCTGGCGGTGCCTCTTCCGGCGCCTCGGCCGTCGGCGGCTCGTCCCCCTCTGCCGCCGGCTCTGCCAACGCCGGTGCCGCCAACGCTGGTGTCTCGGCTTCGCCCTCTGCCTCTGCTGGCTCCGCCGGCAAGGCCTCCGACAAGGCCGCCGCCTCGGCCGACTCGACCGGCTCTGCTGCCACCAAGCCCTCTGCCGGTGCCGCTTCGGCCACCCCCTCGTCTGGTGCTGGTGCCAACGTCGCCTCGGTCGCCCTCGTCGCCGCCGCTGGTGCCCTCGCCGCCCTCTTCTAGATGTCTTAGCCCCACCACCTCCTCCTCATAGTATCATATACACGTCTATATATCCGCAATTTTAACGCTCATGCACATTGATCCATAGATGGATTCTCATTCTCCCCCACCAATGTATTCTTCACCCTCCTTTCGCATCGTTGTTGACCTTAGGCACTATTGGATGCAACCTCCGTTTCGTACTAGCAAAAGAGACCCAGTTTTCAATCGTTTCTGCGTGACGTGACGGGATAGGCTCGACAGGGCCCCTGATGCCTCAGTACGGCCCTCGTATGCCCAGCCAAGCCGTCGGCACGCACCGCCATGTGACGGGCATGTGTCAGTGCGGATGGTCAGAGCATTGACAGTCTCGGCCAGCGTACGCAGAGTAGACAAGTCGCATGCAAACACACACATACACGTACACAAGTCACCACCATGCAGATTATGTGGGCGCAGTGTACAAAAGCCTGGATGGGCGCATAGCTCGTGTAGGCGTACAGGGACACGACTAGGGATTGCAGATCAGTGGATGACTGGCCAACTTTTCGTTTTTCGGTCCCTTCCTCCGTAGCGCGCCCGGCGCGCCCGGCGTGCCGGGTACCGGAACCCGTGAGCCGCGCGCCGCGTTGTCCAGCTGCATTGTGGTGCTTGCTTGCTTTTTGTCTGTCTGGGGGCGTTTCTCGGTGTATCTGGGTGAGTCATGGGAAATGCATGCACCCGCATCATCTTGCTGCAGCAATCATCCGTGCATGCATGAAAAGTGAAATGCATGTGAGTCTGTGAAGCTCGATCTGCATGTCCTGCCTGCGTGTGATCGATAAGGGAACAGGGCCAGACGACGCGAGAAGCGAGGGTGCGTAGCGCGTAGGATCGTAGGAGTGGGTCGCGACTGCGCGGGGATCACGCTGTACGTGGAGCAGAGTGTGAAGCTTCGACTGCGCAATAACTGCGAGAGCGGGGCCAATTTGGCCCGACCACTTGACTTTTTTCAACTGCCCGGGTCCTGCGGGTCTGACAGCTGCCCACCCGCCGTTGCACCGGACCCGACACACTTTGCGCATGGGAGAAGCTCGAGAAGACCGTGAGACCATGCGCTATGCGGCGATAAAGAACGGCCCGAATGGGTCGATGTTGGGCGGGAGTAAAACACCTGTCTCAGACGCACCTAGCAACGCGACGCGTCCGCTGCCCGCACGCCTGCCCGCACAGAGCCCAGCGTGCCCGCATGCCCGCACAACCGGAAGAATGTGGCGTTCTGGCGTATAAAAGTGTCAGACACAGCGGCGAGGCTGTGTACGCCTTGGACACTTCCATTACCCATCGATCACTTGTTACAGTTGCACTCTGATGCAGAAGCGTTCGGGGGACTGAGCTACGGAGCGATGACGATACGCACAGACGCATGGCAGGATGGACCGGCGTGCTGGGCATGCTTGGCTGCTGTGCATGCTTGGTTGTCGAGCACAGACGACGCACGGGCCAGGGACACTCGATCGGAGGCCTTTATGACGCTGTGGCCGCTGTTGCATGCAGTGGAGGGGACGGTCGGAGAGACCGTGGTGGTGCAGGAGTAAACGGGAGATGTCCGTGCGAGGGATGCAACGAAGCAAACGATGCATCGTTCCTTCGGTCATGGTTGACATTCTTCACATCCAACTGCATGAAACTATGTATTTAACAGAGGAAGCAGGCAGCCGGGCATCTCTCTGCCTCTCCTCTGCCAATATGGGAACAGAGGATGCCGTCACGATCAACTCTGGGCATGGGCTTCGTGCACATATGGAGGGACGAGCGGAGCGAGCGCTTGTGAGATATACGGAAGTAGTAAAGTAGGCGCTTGAGAGCTCTGAGCAGCCTTTATCTGCTCCTTCAGCTGGGGATCCACGACGGTGGTCTCCAGCATGGCGCCGCGGCCCATCAGATGTCCTCTGTTGCCTCCTCGCTCAGACCAGCAACACCATCTGTAGTCTTACCATCGTCGGCCGAGATAGCGTCCAGATCGGAGATGAGTTTGTCGATCTCCAGGGAGCTGGTGATTATGGACCTGTCGGCGGCTTCACGTGCGCGCTGAGCACGGTGAATACTTGTGGGCCGCTGCAGCGAGCTCGACTCGTCCAGGTTGCCCTTCTTCCTGCCTCCTGAGCTTCTGCACCTTGTTGCGGATGATCTTCTGCAGCCTGCTCAGGAGACCGGCACCGTCGACAGCAGTCATGGCTCCGATGCCGGGCAGGTTGCGGAAACCGGCAGTGAGCTTCCAGTATTCCGAACCGGCTGCGAGGCTGCTGCGCAGGAGTCGCGCCATCTCTTCGTAAATGCCCAGCTCGGGGTCACGAACTCGCAGCTCCTTTTTGCTGAGGAGTCCAACAGGGGCGACCAGTCTGGGCTGTGTCAGCTGGAAAGCTGTAGACCTGGGCGGTTCTAAGGTGGGGCACTTACTGGTTGGCGGCGGCGGTTTGTGGCACTACCGGGGGCCCCTCGTCGGTGGTCCCGGCGGTCAGGCTGATACGGTTATCAACTCGTATGTAGTTGGTCATGAGGGTGTGCGACCGCTGGCTATGGCCTGCCAGCATCTCGGTGGCCGCCTTCGCCATACAGCTGGTAGTGTGTCTCGAGAACACTCTGACGCACGGAATACAGCGAGAGCTTCTCCTTGGACTTCCCGTCTGCTTGGTCAATCTAGATTCAAATACCATGGGAGCCATAGGAGATAAGGGTCGCTGCTGGGAATACCTGCCCTCGTTCGGCCCGTTGCAAAAGAGGAGATGAACTCACGGATCATGCCAGTGCCTTTCACAACGCGCCCTTCAGCATCCTCTGCGGCCCCTTCGAGAGAAAGGGGCCAGACAGATCGAGGCTCAGACCCCGAGGGCCGAGTCTGACGAACACTGGCTCTTGCAGCTTGTGGACCTCGATAACATCGTCGGGATTGTCGCTGGAGACTAGCTGGTCGAGCCACGACAACAGCGTCTCCTCCTCCGGGACCGTGGCTGCACCAGTATTCAGGGCTTGCGCGAGGAAGTACCAGTTCAACGCGAAGATCATATTCCCCCGGTTGAACACCTCCTTGATAGGGTGCTTCATGCTAGACGTTAGCACATCTCTCATGCACGGGTGAACTTACCGGTGCTTTGACCGCTTCCCTCCCTCCTGAAACCCCTTGTAGTGGCGGAAGGTCCGGACGCTTTCAAGATCCACCATTTCCTGAGCGTCTGGGTCCCGAAGTCGTCGCAGCTCGATCCTGGGCGTTAGCGTCTCATCCCCGGACCCAAGCGTTTACTCACCTCCCAACGTAGCAGGTCCTGATCATATAACGGGCTGGGTGGGAGACCGCAACACGACGGCCACTATACATATCGACATTGATGAGCAATGCCTTTTGCGTTGCCTGCAGGTCAGATTTATACCGGAGGAATCACTCACGGTCTCCTTCTGTCCACCAGTCGATTCCTCTCCATTCTTCTTCAAAACGTGCTCCAGAATGATCTTCACCGAATCGCGGCCCAGAACACCCTTCGACGACACCGGCCGGGCGAGCCCGAACTTGTCGATCAGGGCGCTCGCGTGCTGCAATTAGTGGGATACACTGGAATAACTCACGGCCGAGACACTGTTCTTGAGGCTGTCCCTCTCATCACGCAGCGCGTCCTCGGGCAAGAACATCTCGAGCTGAGCTTAGCGTCTCTTCCCAATAATCCTGCCGCTGAAACTCACGGCCGCCTGGAGATTGAATGAAAGCCGGTTCAATGCAGTGCCTGCAATCCGTTCGAACGCAGGATCGGCGCTCTTGCCGTTCTCCGCGTAATAGCTCATGAACTCCTCCATCAGCCCTGCATCTACGTTAGCTCTGCCACACAGCTGTGTAGGTTCGCTCGAAGCGCACCGCCAATCTTTTCGGGGTCTCGGCTGGTCTCCTGCTCCTCGACGGTCACCTCCGGATCCTCATCCATCCACTTGAGGAAGCGCTTGACGTCGCGGAAGATTCGAACGAACCGTTTCGGTTCCGGTGGTTGGGATGCTATTGCGCAACTTGGAGAATCTGAGGCGCTCGGTGCGTGTCTTCAGAGCGACATCTTGAAGCTTCTTGCGGCCAGATTGGAAGGCGATTGAAGTGGGAAGCGCTTTACGGCGCTGAAAGCTCATTGTGAGGCACTGTGCAGAGAACGCTTTGTTGAACGACGGGAAAGTAACGAAGAGAGATGTTGGTCATGCCTTTGGTAGGCCTGATGTTTGCGTCGAGAGGTGGGAACCGTCAGAAGAATGAATGACGGAGAAAGGACAGGTAGCAGACGTGGAAGTGTGCCCTAGGCCAAGGGCGATAGGAAGCGTGTGCGGCGTCGATCATCCCCTATCGATCAACGGGTCGAGGCTTTAGCCGCCAAGTCACACGCTTCTGAGTCTGATCCACCTGGGCGCAGGCTGTCGTTGGTCGTCGTAGGCTCGCGACGGCGATGGAACGTTGACCGCCACACGACGAGTGTGGCAGTCCTACTGTATCATCCGTCTGTCATTCCGGGTGTCTACGTCTATCCAGACCTCGACGAACGTAGCTTCTCTCATAACTATGGGCCCTCGCCACAGGAGAAATGTGTGGCGACGATGCACCTGAATAAGAATGGCACGTTATCCGTCGCCCGCCCTCGACGGCCCTGAGGCGGTCATCCGCAACTGAAAGTTGCCATCTCTCCTTCGTCGGATCTTCTTCTGCCTCTGGAGCGCTTTCACTCGCCGCAGGAGCTCCTAGCGCAGCTTCCCAGGACTGGGACTCGACCTAAGACAGCGGGGCACGACCACAACAACAGACAATCATCGGCATTGTGGCGGAGTGGTTAACGCGGTTGACTCGAATGGTCTCACTTCGGAGAGGGATTCCAGAAATCAACTTCCTTCGGGAGCGCATGTTCGAATCATGTCAATGTCGAGCCTTTTTGACGTTCTGCAAGCTTTTTTCCGACTGCAGGAAGAGAAGAAAACTGGTTTGAAGGCGTTTGAAGTTGTGGTTTGGTGTGTAGAAGTGTCGTGGATGAGTGGATGGGAGGGGCGCAACAGTGTGGCACTTACGGGCGTTCCTGTTATTTTTGTCACGTGAGGTCTGAATTTTGGGCTACGGAATTGGAGTGTCTTCCGATGTGCACCGCTTCTGGGTCATGCATAGTTTCATGAGCAGATGGGCTGGAAGCTAGATGCTAGTGGACATCTCCCCTTCGGATCCGGTGTGGGTTGGTGTTGGCTTGGCCTGCGTCTCGCCCACCGAGCAGCCCTCATTCTCCACCGCCGCTGCTACCCTCGACGCCACCCCCGCCTCCGCCTCGGATGCCACCGCCTCCGCCCAAGTTTACCCCTTATCATTGAGCCCCGGAGTACTCCAATGCTTGCCACAGGTCACCAGAACAGCCACCGAGGGGGCGAGGAGCAGGCACATTCGGCGGCGCCGGCGGCGGGCCAACAACGCGCAACGAGCGACGTCGCCTCGTTATATCAGTCGGTAGATAGTGTGACTCTTACGCTCAGAGCCGATTGATCACACAGTCATGGGTTCGAGCCCCATACGAGGCTTGTTTTTGACTCGTGAGAGGGTGGAAAGTGTGAAGGGGCGGCGGTGGAGAAGAGGCAAAGGTGCCGCGGCTGGTGTCCATCGTGAAGGTGGCCACGGTGTCGAGCTCCCGGGGGTCCGTGATTGTCGCTCGAGGGTGGGGCCGAGACGAAGACGGCGCAGGTTGTCAACGACTTTCGATGCATCGACCTATGCCTGAGGAGAGGGATGCTATGAGCGCTGCATGCCTATTGCTGGCGGGCATTCCAGTGGTGCGGGTGCTCGATCACTGCCTGTCCGGTGTTGCGTCCTCTTCCGGCAGAAGCACGGTACAGAACAGACCCGTCCCGGGTCTCTGAGAACGTACAGCTTCCAGTGCGTGTCCGGACGGGAACGGTCAGGCCGCCAATTTTCAGAGTTCTGGGATGTCTGCATGCCACAGGCTGGTCGTGTATGTCCAGTTGCACGGTCTCCCGAGTTGCTCGACCCGAGTCGCATCGGCACGCACCGTCTCCCGGACCGCATCTGCGCGTCTCCCGTCTGAGCTGGTGCCCCAAACTCTCCCGGAATGCACATATCATAGCACGGAGCGTTTTGCACTCCGGCGCCATCCAGCAGTGTGGTTGCAGGGTGCCCCTGCCTCGCCCATGGGCAACCCGGCTGGGACCCACCCCCGCTCTCCTCGGGCAAGTTGGTTACGGCAGCAACCCCGTGCATTCCCGGTCGGGGCATTCTTCGTGCCGGACTTCCGACGCACGAGGCTCTAGATCACGGCGCGGTCGCTGCCGAACAACTGTCCGATTGGAAGAACTGTATCTGTGCTCCGGCTTGAAGTACTGAGAGGAGCAGATGGGAGGAGCGTGCGGGAGCCTGTGGGTAACCTGTCACCGTTCGACCCGAGGAAAGACCTGACTCACGCGAACTGATACATTTGGCTCGCGCTCGCCGCCTTCGGAGTTCTCAGCTCGGCGCCAGGCACAGAGTCCATTCACTCTTGGTCGTGTGCGGTCGTTTTCGGTGGCCAGCAGGAACAGTGTGCATTAGGTCGTGTCAGATTGCCCCCTCTCAGAACAGCAACGAGGGAGCAGCGGCCAGAGAAAGCGAAAGCTAAGCGGTCAGATAGCGAGTAGCATCAGCTGGTTTGATGCATTCGGCAGGTTCATGAAAGCCCGATGCACCAAGGCAGTGTTCGGAGGACAGCCTCTCCGCCGGGCGGGTGGTGATGCTGTAGATGGCCGCGAGCGGTGCATCGGCAGTGAGGGCGGTGCACTCACTCCGGGCGGGCACATCCTTCACGTGTCAGCGCAATCCCCTCGCGAGGAAGTCACCGCTCCTTCACCTGAGCGCAACGACTGCCTCCTTCCAGCAAAGCCAGCTTGTTTCAAGTCTGCGTCGTAAGCGAACTGCAACATGAAGCAGTGCGAATCGGGCTCGGCGCCGATGACTCATGGCTCATTTGTTCCTTGACCCGGTCCTGTTTCCGGCGTTACGTCCACCGTCTTCCGCGCTGCCGTACTCCTTCCCGCATAGAGGTACCATTGGCGCGGCGCTGGTAGCCGCCGGCTGTGCTCCATGCACTGCTGCATGTGCCGTACAGCCTGCGACTGTTGCAGCGGATTGGAGCATCTTCCAGCTCGGGAATATGAGCGACATTTTGCGGACCGGCGGAGGTTTCACTCAGTAGCCGGTAATGTAGAAGACACACCGGGCCAGCCTCCTGCAGTGAGCATATCAAGCACGGAAAAGTCGAGTGACCAAAGTGAGAGCGATACAGTAACGTGCTCTACGTCGCAAGAGCAACGGTGACCTAGCGACATGGCGACCGGCATGGACAAGCGCAAACACAAGGGGCAGCAAGGGGCCAAATTAACGATCCCAAGTCACAACTTCACGCCAAGGACGTAAGACTGACGATCTGGACTTTCGCAACGCTCTTCTGGAACCGTGTATCCTGGGGGTTCTGGATCGCCATGTCACCATCCCGCACATCGTGCTTCGGAGCTACGCGAGTCGAGTCGGTCGACACGCGACTCGGGTCGCCGTGTGTAACGTGTTCTTCACGCTGCATGCTGCGCTTGCCCGGTGTGGCACATGCGGTGCGTGTTATGCAACAGTTGACGTACAGCCATCACGCAGTCCATGGCATGTTCCCACATCGGTGTCTGCATCGGTCTTGTTTGCACGCAATGCATGCGCCACGAGCCTGGATGGATCTCGTTGGGATGACTAGGTTAACTGGTACAGCTCACATGGTATCTCAGACGGACGTACGCCATCTCGCTGACACAGTCTGAGTCACGAGGTCACACAGCGACGAGACATGTCTCGTGTGTCTCGTGTCGCCCCGGTGTCGCAGTCGCAGTCACTGGCGATCAGACGTCCCCTCGCGTCTCCTGCAGACGCAATGGTGGATTCTCTGTCATTCGCCAGACATGGCTAGACAAGGCGCAGCATACTTGTTCTGGCTGGCCATCTCGCTTCCCAGATCTCATATCGCAGATTCTTTGAGAAATGAATGAATGCAAAAACAACAAACATCGCTTCGGCGAAGCCCGTGGGGTCTTTGGGGTCTCGGAGCAAAGACAGGATAGACGGGAGCAACCCCCAACCATGCGCTCAATGGTATTACTCCCCACCTCTTCATTACCGGATCTACTCTGGAGACAAACAGTGCAATTCACGTGCTGCCCAAACCAGGATGGCCGGCACATGCTTCAATTGTGTGTGAGAAGGCAGTCATGCAGTCAGCGAAAGTGAGCTTCCATTATTAGCTTTGGGTGTGTTCTATGATTCCAACCATGCCTCGCTTGGCTCGATCTTGGCTCATCTCAGTGGTCGTTTCGATGACGGTGTGCCTTTGGCTTTTCTTGGCCCTTGGGCATATTCTGGCCCGCTCAGTGCTCGATCGAGCATGCCAGAGCGCTCCCAGACCAAAACGCGTGACGCGTATTGGCCCTCGAACTTCGTACTCCGGAGAACCAGGGCCGAATGCCCTGGACAATTCAGAGACGGGCGCCAGAGTTCAATTCTGTACTAGAGCAGCAATGTTGCGCCTCCTCTTCTGTTTCTTGAGCGCCACGACACAGTTGAACAGTGTCATGTGTTCTCTGTCCTTTGAAGCGTTACATGACGCGGTCGCTTGTGTCTGTGGAGCTGTGCAGCGTTGCTTTGTTTACATGCCTTTTGCATTGATGTCATCAGATGTAAACAAACAAACAGACACACAAACGCCTCCTCTGCTCTGGATTGATGGTCTGATGATGCATTGGTCTGATGACACGAGGATCGGAACCCACTCGTCGTAGCGCGCTATCGGTATCCGGCGACGCGTCGCCATACCGCCCTTTCACGCGTCGTGGAGCTAGTTCGTCTCTGTCATGAACGCCTTTTTAGCTTCATCGCCGTCATGGGTCAGCGAGCGCGAGTGACCGGATGTGGGCCAGGTCAAATCTTACGACACGACGCGGGCGGCGTGGACGTAATGTCGCCGGTGCACTGCAGGTGTCGGCCAGCCAGAGAGCAGAGAGCTCAGCAGAAAGCGAGGCCAGGCAGTCGCGGCCGAGGGAGGCGAGGGAGCAGCGAGCCAAAACCCAATACCTGCGAGAGCCTGCGATAGTCTCCCAGTCAGAGCCGGGCCACCCGGGATCCCTGGTCCGCAAAGTTCAATGAGTTGCCGAAATTGACGTAAGCTTGTTCCGGCGTGCCTTCTGCCTCAACTGTGCCTTGTTTCTCTTTTCCCTGGATGGGCCGGATACAGCAACCTGCACTCAGCTGTCGGCGAACCGCAGTGCACGGCGACGTCGTCTCAGTCATATTAGCCTCTGGCACATCTGGGTGTGCGCACGTTGCGCACGTTGCGCACACTGGACTTGCCGCCTCCGCTGGCGTTCACTGGCCGTCTTTGGCGCTCACTACATTCACTGGGCCAGGAAGAATGCAAGCGGGCCGGCGTGCTGGTATCGAAGGCGTCGTTGGTCATGCATCGTTGTTCGGAGGCTGCCTCGTGCGCCTCGCGGCCACGAGGCAAGGCCTCAGATCATGTGAGCACGCACGATCGTCGGATGGACCAGCGAGCTCCGCTAGCTCCGGCGCAGCTGACAGAAGTTGTCTGGACTTCTGGCCGCATTCCGGTGACATGAACGCTTCGCCCTCGGTCTCGTCCGTCTCGTCCATCGAGCACTGAGACAGCGACATTACGTCCCCAGATCTCTCACCCAGGCTCACTTTGGGCTCACTTTTGCTCTGGGTAGGGGCTGAGGGGGACGGGGAGGGCATCCACGCCCATGGCCCCGGTATGCTTCGCGGCACCGAAGGTTGAGCGTGCATCGGCAGACCCGGAGAGCCAATAACGCAGCCGCCCTGGGAACCCGGTGTACCGGTGTGCAGACTGAGACATGAGACATGCAGCTGAGCCAAAAACGAGACATCCCAGAGCCGAAAGAGCGAACGCGAAACGGGTGCCCTCGCCAGCTTAATGCCCAGTGCCTGGGCTCTGAAGCTTGTTGACCCGGCCTGGCCAGTCGGGCTCGCGTCATGGAATTGGGTCGGTGACGCCCGGCTCCAACAGCGCTCAAGCACTTTTCAGCGCTGAAGTTTTTGCAGAAGATGCAGAGGATAAGAGGACTGTGCAACGAGGTGACCGCCTGTGCGAGATGTGACTGGCCCGAGTGACGGTGACTAAGGAAAGAGCAGCTCGAGCCGGCCTTCACGGCGTGCCGTGCGCCGGGCGGCGCACAGACCGGTGGGCTCTGGCGCGAACTCACTGAGTTGTGCGAACTTCAAACGATCCACTGAAAGCCAGGAGGCAAGGGGAAGCGTCGCATCGCCGTTGCATCATGAAATGACTGTCAACGTAGTGTAGCGCACAGCGCAGCGTGGTGGCTGCGATGCAGTGGCCGCTGCGGTGGGCGCCGGGGGGTTTGAATGTATCGCTCGCACTGCACCGTTTCATGCAGTGGTAGCTCCCGTAGAGCGGCGAGCGGGCGTACCTTTGTGCTGTGGAGCGCGGGCGATCGGCCCCGTCGAGCATCCACAGCTTGCGGACCCAAACACAGCAAAAAGGTTTGCGGAGGGCCCAGACTCGACGGAGTCCAGGACGTCCAGGACATGCAGGATATGGTACTACGGCTCGCCTCTGTCCACACAACGGACTCAGGATGGGCATGGACTGGAAGCGGTTCGGAGGGCCTGGAGGAGTCATGTCCGACGTTCCGTCGTTGCGGCGACCCTATGCTATGCTTCTCGCTGTCCAGGCTGCGTCGGAATGGACGGCGCTGTGTCGCTGCTCCGTTCCTAGGCGACTGGCAGTGTAACTGCGTCAGGGGGGTGGCTCTCTTTGGTCATGTATTTGCACCGGGATGGTGAATGAGCGCTTTGAGGGCGCTAGGGATCCCCGGCCGCTGAAACTTCAGGGTTGGAGAGTTGTACCAAAGCAGAAAGTCGCGCAGAGTCGCGTCGGCCAGAGGCGCTAGCAGTCGTCTGTCTTGGAGCAGCCCAGGGCGGTCAGGGCGGTCAGGGCCGATGGATAGGGTCACCGACGCGTCAGGACTCGCGAGCAGAGCTAAAGAGGCCCAGGTCGGCCAGGTCCAGATTTAGTCTGCATCCCCCGTCCTCCCTTGATTGCCTGATTGCCCTCGTTGCAGCCTGTCAGACGCTGTAGACTCGGAGCACGCGCCGTCGAGCGCGGCGCAGCGTCTGAGGCAAATCCCACCCGTCCATCCTACAGCACTCGCGACGTGCCTCGCTCTCAGGATCTCACACACTCAGACTCACTCTCTCTCTTCCGTATCCTGTCCTCGCCGACCCAGACTCACTCCAACGCCCAGTCCTCGTCCTCACTCTCGCTTTCTGTCACGCTCCTTCGCTCCCTCATCACTCTCCTTCATATCCTTCTCTTTGTTGTGTCTCGCACCCACCCCCCCCTCGACTCCACAACAACAAACACCCTCACACCAACTCTTGACATCACACAAAGAACAACCCCCGACCACTCGTTGGCTTCTTATCACCATCTTCCGCCGCTCCACACATCCCCCTCTCCCCATCCCCAACGCTTCTCACCACCTTTTCGCCCGATCCAGCTTCTCACCACTGAGCTTCTCTCTACACAGCGCCGCCGACGTCCGTGTTCGACCCCCGGAACAATGGGCTTCCTCCGCAAAATTGGATCGTCGAAATCTCTACGGGAGAAGGCGTCCAAGGACGCTTATCGACCTCCGACGCCTCCTCCCCAGCTCCCACCTCTTCCGGACCACATCCGGAGGTCAGAGAGCAAGTCTACTCACCAGTCCAACAACACTCAGCAGAGGGCCCAGCGCCGTAGGAGTCGCTCCCTCTGGGGCACCTCTGAGGAGGCAAAAGTTGCTCGCACGGGCCTGCAGCGTCGGGACTCGTTCTGTGGTTCGACGTTCACGACGGATAGCAGCCCATCCTCGCAGCCGTGGAGGAGTCGCGATGCCTGGCTGGCACTGCACACGCCGTCGACGCCGACAATTGTGAATGAGTTGACTTTCCCTTGCTCTCTGGATCCTCCGACGCCAGGGTGGCGTGGTCGCGGAGGGGGTGGCTTTTTCGCAGGCACCGAGGCCATGACGGATGCCGACAAGATCAAGTCGGCTCGTGGTGACGACGGCGACTCGATCTTCTCATTACCGCCGCGGTCACGATCGCGTGCGGCAACGTTGGCCTCGAGGGACTCTCCGACGCCATCGCGATCGAAACTGGCATACCCGACGCCCCCGCTAGACTCTGGCGTCGACGACTCACCAATGTCACCTACCATGATGCCCAAGACAGGGTTGCGTCGTCCAAGCCACAATGGGAGCCAGATTGAGTCTTTGCCGCCTGTCTCGGCTCTTCCTCCACCTCGCGCGGTTTCGCCCGTCCCAACTCTCCCCCCGACGCCAACGACGCCGCGTGCGCCTGCGCGTTCCAACTCTGTCACCACGACCGCCCGCGACTCGACGTCGTCTGGCGACCACGGCAGCCAGTCTCCGGTGACTCCCCAGCAGTCGACCCAGCTTCTGCAGGCTCCGCCGTCAAACTTCCTCCCGTCCGAGGCCAAGGTGCCCTGGGGCCAGGCCAGCCGATCAGCCTCGCCTATTCTGTTCCGCAACGACTCTACCTCGACCACGCACTCTTCGCGTCTGTCTGCGCGATCTTCGACCCACAGCAGCCGTGCCCGCATCGTTTACTCGCCAAAGCCGCCGTCCAGGGCTCTTCCCGCGACTCCGCCTGATAGTGACTCCGGACACAGCAATGAAGAGCACGGTCTGCCGTACGACCAGCCGCAACAGCAACAGCCGCACAACGCAGTCGATATTACGGACGAGGCCGGAGGCGAGGTTATCGACTTTACGCGCCCGCGATCTCCCGCCGCCGAGCAAGCGCAGGGGCCGTCGTCAGACGACCTGCGGCGGTCCCTGTCCTCGTCCCGAGGACGCAGGAGTAGCATTCAATCGTCCTACGAGACCCACGAGAGCTTCAACAGCGTAGGCTCCGGGGCGTTCTACACGCCTCCACCCGCTGCCGCGCAGGGCTTCTTCGCGCCGCCACTACCCGTCCCCGCCGGCGCTGCGCCGGTCTCGTCGACGCTGCCAACGCCGCTGTCCCGCTCAGGCCCGAGCTCAGGCCTCGTGATCCCGCCACCGCGATCGACCTCGCGCCCGCCCTCGCGCTCTGCGTCGCGCGCGTCGCGCAGCTC